TCTTCTTTTGGTTGCATTCAACGATCCTCCACGCCTTCACCTTTGCTGACTTACCTCCGCCTAACGTCTAACCCTCACAAAACGAGTTGTTGCCTCTACGATGGCACTGCACAATAACTGCACCCTCAACACCATCATGGAGGGGTGGTTTTGGAAGTTGAATACGGTCTTCGCTTCCCACTACTTCCATTATCTTTGTGTACTGATGTACAAGGCCTCCTCCAATTTGGTCCGCTAGTCTTGGCACAACAACATTTACTGAGGACAGCTCAACGATGCAGATAACTGATACAGGTACCTGCTACCACAGACGTGTAATTCGTATCTTGTACATACTGAATAAATGATTGAGGTCCAATCCTGTGGTGATTATTTGTACGTTCAGGTCCCAGATCGAGTACTCATTGGAGAGTGTCGACACACGTCTGTAGAGACACTGGTGTTCGACGATGAAGTCGCCACAAGACGTTTCGCCGGTGTCCTAAACCCTTACCTGCCCACCTCCGTCTTGTGCACGTGATGTCTCAGTATTGGTTTGAAGATCCTCTTATGGATGTTGATGATCTTTACAATCGTTGTTGATCTCGTCTTAGCAGTGGGATTGATAGCTTCAACGAAGCATTAAATGAGTGAGTGAGTTTGGTTTTACGCCGCTTTTAGCAATATTCCAGCAATATCACGGCGGGGGACACCAGAAATGGGCTTCACACATTGTACCCATGTCGGGATTCGAGCCCGGGTCTTCGGCGTGACGAGCGAACGCTTTAACCACTAGGCTACCCGACCGCCCCACGAAGTATTAAAAGAAATGCACGGGATTGTAGTGCATGACCCACTTGTTTGGGTTGTGACTATGGTGATGCGAGGAGTGTTCGGGTCAAATGGTTTTAGAAGCTGGAAACTTTGTTTTAGGGCGTTTCTACACAAGGAGCGAAAGAAGAAGGAAGAAATGCATTGTGTCAGATAAGATAAGTATATAAGTATACAATATTTATGTAAAATTTCAATATTTCCGATATGGAAACGCACGAGAGTAAAAATCTATCAGGTTATGGAATGGCATGTTTAAAGTGTGCGTTTTCGAATATAATTATGGCATCACTTTTTGTTACACGTCTACACGAATGGTCGTGGTGGGAATCCAGATATTTACTATGATAACAATATACCTTGGACAATCAAAGCAAGATCAATAAATAAATATCAATACAGACGAATGTTTAGCATGTTTGTGAAGATACACTGCCAACACATAAGATAAATTTGTTACGACGTTACCTTTTCGTTTCTTCTTCCCCCAAATGTCTGTGGATCCTACATTGGAGCCATTGCGTCCTGTACGTGTGTTTTTCCGTGATGCATGAGTGCCCTTGCGTCCTGCGTCTTTCCGTGATGCGTGTGTGCCCTTGCGTCTTGCGTCTTTCCGTGATGCGTGTGTGCCCTTGTGTCCTGCGTCTTTCCGTGATGCGTGTGTGCCTTTGCGTCTTGCGTCTTTCCGTGATGCGTGTGTGCCCTTGCGTCCTGCGTCTTTCCATGGTGCACGGGGGCCGTTGCGTCCTGCGTCTTTCCGTGTTGTGTGACTGCTGTAGATGGCCTGACGTGCTGCATCAGTGGTGTCACGTCCTACATTGGTGTCATCACATGTGACAACTGTATTGGAGATACCGCGTGGCTTGCATCTGCTGATGCAAATCGTCGAGCAGACAACATGTTTACGTATTGCTGTCAAGTCGAAACTTCGAGTCAAGTGGAGTTTTGGAGTTGCCATTTCTACACCATTACAATCAAAATATGAACTTAGCACGACAGGGATTGTCGTGACCAAACATAAGAGGAACATCACTGCGTCTGCAGAAACAGAAACTGAACTACTCCGAAGACAGTGCACGTGCTCTGTGTGAAAAGAAAAAGACAATAGCTCCTTCTCCTTATGAAATCAGGGTATTGCAATAATTGCTTTTTCTCAATTTTGCCATTGTTTCAGATTGATGAATACTTTTCAGAACAAACTGATCTTTAAAATACGTAATAGAATTTTATCCATGCACGTTTGAATTAATAAAAAAACATGTAATACTTGTTATGCCATTTTAAAATAAATTATTCAAGTTTGGAATCATAAAGACGCTTGAATAAAGAGTGAAATGCTTGTTAAATTCTTTTTTATAAAATCTGAGATAACTGGGAATTTTATAGTCTGATAAATTCAGTTAAGGTTTTTCTTAATAGGTTATTGAGCAAATACCAGCGGTATTAGTAATATAGATGAGGGCGTATAATTAATAAATAATATTTTGTGGACATAATGTAGTATTTTTTAAGCTTGTCAAGTATTCTTTGAAATGTAATCGTGCTTCACAAACAAGCTTGACATGTCCATTTGAATAAAGCAGATATAAATGACGCTCTGGACTCCTCCAGGGGAACGGTGTACTTATTTCGTTTTTGTTGCTGTTCGCTGCAAACTGACAAACGCCGGCACACACACAGACACAATACCAACAGTCTTAGGTTTGTCAAAGAATAGTATATATTTGGGACCACTGGGTCTCCATATTTAATGTCATGAACAAAAACTTTCTGAAAATTATCAGATGTGTTCATATGAAGGAGAACTTCGAAAGTGAGCGAGTTTTTAACAATATTCCAGCAATATCACGGCGGGGGTCACCAGAAATGGGCTTCACACATTGTACCTTATGTCGGGAATCGAACCCGGGTCTTCGGCGTGACGAGCGAACGCTTTAACCACTAGGTTACCCGACCGCCCCGAGAACTTCGAAAGTGTTGACACGAAAGGTTGGAGCTGCTGGTAGAGTGCTCGACATAAGTTTTTGAAAGTCATTCATTTTGCCATGCAGCCTTGTGGACACTTCATTGTCATAATAACGCTGAATCTTTATGAATAGATCTAAATATGAAACGGCTGAGGCGGTTTCATTGTATCTCTTTTTTTTCTTATTCAGATAAATCGTCAAAAGGCACGTTGGCTATTTGACCGTGGTGGAATCATCCATGTGTATACCTGAACCTTGAGTTTAACACCTTGGACAAGTTCCCTTGTTTTCAGTTCGTCAGACCGAGCAGAAATTCTGATTCACATGCATAAAGATGTTTATATGATTCATGCGTTTAAGATACATAAAGTTAATAGATGTGTTCATATGAATGAGAACTAGACTTTTCGTTTAACGTATAAAAAAAGTGATTTTAAGGATATTAGAACATAATCAAGTCTTTGACCCAAGTCAATTGTCTTTAGAAACGTAGATAGGAACCGGACAATAGAAACGTAAATAAAAGCGCCACAAGGCTCTGTAGCTCACCAGATGTATGAAGAAAGTGAGTGAGAGAGTGAGTGAGTGAGTGAGTGAGTGAGTGAGTGAGTGAGTGAGTTGGGTTTAACGCCGCTTTTAACAGTATTCCAACTATATCACGGCGTGTCAGCTTAATGTGGGAGGAAAGCCCGAAGTGATTCACGTCTCAGACGTTTACAACGGGGCGAACCGGGATTCGAACCTACAATCATAGGTTTCGTGCGTAATCGAGTCTGCACCAGACAATGCAGTGATTGAGATCATGAGCATCGATCTACCAAATGACACAAAATCTGATGCATTTTTATATGAAGCGGCATACAAATACAGATGAACGACGGATAATTAAGGATTTGTTTTTCTTCCGGCGGGGGGGGGGGGTCACGGGTGGCCAAGTCGTCTAAGGCGCCGCGATTAGCTGTGCAGAGTTGCGTCTCTTGGGCACGCCAGAAACCTATGATTGTGGGTTCGAATCCTGGTTCGACCCAATTATGTTTTTAGGTTTGTCAGCACCATACCCGTGCTCGTGGGTTTCACCGAAGTGGTAAACGTCTGAGACCTGCATCACTTCGGGCTTTCCTCCAACATTAAGCTGACACGCCGCGATATAACTGTAATACTGTTAAAACCGGCGTTAAACCAAACTCACTCACTCACTCACTCCGGCGGGAGGGAATTTTGCAGGTGGCGGGGGATGAGAGACACAGACATAACTAAGGACGCCCTTAGATCCTTTTCCACATTGTGTTTAAATTTCAGTTTGTGACGTCATAGTTTTGATCTAATGTGACATGGGGTTATGCTAAAATGTTTGGGGGTAAATCGGTAGCTACGATATTCACTGCCACAATTATATTCTAAATGATTGATCATATTTGCAACAAGGCTTCAGACGGTTCGTTTGTTTGTTGTGACATAAAATGTTGTCGCATGGTTCCATAAACAACGAACAATGAATGAGGATAGGGGTCAACTCGAGACGTTTATATCAACGTCGTTGAAAGATTACCCCGACTGTGCGGCGTGTTGTGAAGGCGGCAAGCAGCGCCGCGCCATCAATGATCTAAGGGAGATAATTGTGTTATGATATGTTAACAATAAATAAGAGTAAGGTCCCTTGTATCAGCTCCACACAGTGTGTTAAACATAAGCTCCTCACACCATGTGGCATTTTTCGAGTTCTATAGGGAACTTCAAGCTCCTCACAGCGATAGCCAATTCACACGCTGAGAAGGAGCTTAGAAACTACAGGGTTATCTACCTTGCTTCAAGGTCGAATGACGTCATGGTTTAGTTTGTCCGGTCCATACGCATATAATAGCACCCCGATTATGTTATTAACACAATTACTTTCCCTCGATAAAGTACAACGCAGTATCTGATGTCTGCGTGCAGGTAGCCCCAAAAGCTTCTACAAGGGACGTAAATCCATTTGAAATTACCAAGTAGACTGGCTCTAGAGTAGACTGGTTCCCGGATCCTCCGCTTGGTGTCGCTAATCTTGCTTTCCAAGTCTGTCGCAGGAACGAACGGGAACCAGTCTAGCTCTGGAGAGGCGTAGTTTGATTAACAAACTGAATTACTTCCCTTTGACCACAAACATTACCGCGTGGATAAGTTATCTTTTGAATTGTCTCCCTTTGACCAATGACAAAAACTTTTATTCATGGCCAACTCGTCCCATTCCGGGACAAGCTTAATGTAGGTTATGGAAACATGCTCTTGCTCTCTACAGTCGACAAGATCACAGGACCATGTAATAAATAATAATAACAGGTTCGAAGGTCGTGAGCAAGTTTGGCCTCGAGATTGTTATTATCATAATAGTCCTGTGACCAGACATGTTTAAAATATTTGTTACAGATCGTCAAAGCCTGGAATAGGTAAACTGCAATGAGGAAGCTTTTTTGCTTTGTTTTGTACTCCCAGCTCCCTCTGGGAAAAACTTGTAGATGAGAAACACAAAAAAGTGAGGATAATGACGGAAGATTTAGATGCTTAAAGTTCGACTGTTGTTGTTCGTTTAGAGTTACTTCCCTTTATAGAGGAAATGGCGACGACAATAGCCTCCAACGTAGGAATCAAGTTAACTGGCAGGGATTCAAGACAACAACAGTAATACTTTCAACAGTCTGCCTAAAGCACACTGACTAGATCATAGCTCTGAAAAGCGGCCTATATTTCCGTAAGAAAGAGAGGATCATTTCACATGTTTCAGGAGGTATTCGTTGCATGTTTTTTTTATATCCCAGTTTCGATCATTTTCTATTCTTTTCTGTCATACATGTACCATTGGTCCACTAAAATTAAAACACACCGTTCCATAATAGCTGTGAAGAGCACTGAGCAGTGTAACAGATCATGACTGACTCTGAAACTACGATGGACCCGTGCGACGAGGACGACGTGTCCGTCATCAGTGACACCACAGATGGAACAAATGTTGTCACATCGCCGTCAACATGGGCAGGTCTGAAAGGGTAAGCAGTTAGTATTAGATTCCGCACATATACGTAAACGCAAATGTCTGCAATAGAGGGTGTATATAGAGACTGGGGCCAAATACGTAAAGCTGCAATATTAGAATTTGTTCAGTCCGTCTCCCACTAAACAGTAACCTATCATAAAAAAAACTAAACAATAGGCCTATCGGTATCTTCCCAAAACGTAGACCTGCCAAAACGCAAACCCGTTAAAACAACACTCGTTATGGCTGGTTGCATCAGTAATTAGTACCCTGTACCCTTGATTAAGTAAAATGGTATCACCCATGTAACAAGAAAGAAAGCTGGGTAGATTTCACATTTTTTTATTCAAATGTTATTTCATTGTCATTTATGATTATCAGTCATTTTCACTTGTTTATCATCAGTGGACCAACTGCCAACCTATCTCAAGAAAAAGTGTTTCCCTTCACCGATCTCACATGACTCCTCAATCCTTAGAGTCTGTGATGTTAGGGTTATGTTATTTTACCTCTAGACTAACATCTAGTCTCTGAAATGAACATACCTTACAGAAGGAAAAAAAACAGTTTTAAAATTATCTTAATAAAAAATATAATAAAAGGAGCCCAGAGACTCTTCATTTTCAGATATTGCAGCAGTATGGACTTGCCAAACATTATAGATTTGCATGGGCTGTATTGGATATATTGTATCAGGGTCTGTATGACAGACTTGGTTAATGACCATAACTCTCTCCTTTGCCCATGGATCCTTGAATTAAAATAGTGGCAAACATTCTAAATAAGCTCCTATGCCAGTCCCTGCACATTTGATTTAAGTCTCCCAAACACCACTGATCGTGTCTGCATTTTCATATTTCTAATTTTATAAGATATCAAAGCAGCAGTTAATGTTGACACTAATTACATAGAGTCAATGTCTCAGTTTCTGCCAGGTGTTAATTACAAAATCTGGAAGTATGCAGAAAGGGGCCCAAGACATCTGAGCAGTTGGATCAGGAATTGAACAGTGTTTTGGAAATTGTTTTCAGCTCTTGAATTTTTTTCTTCAGATTGGTGAAAACTCCACAAAAGAAAAGGGAGACCATGTGCAGTCCCTCAGACAAAGGTACACATTATAACGTAGGCTCAGTGTGTCGAAATGCAGGCACTGAAGGCTTAAAAAAAATTGGCATACATTTGATTTATTCATATGATAAGTCTGTGCATAGGTAGCACAGCACTGAGCAGGGTTGCCTCCCTTGGTTGTTGCAGGCTCTCAGATTCCAAGATTTAGATCCAAAATACCTAAGCTCTTGTTTTATTACCAAAATGTATAACCATACAATTTCATTTTTTAAATTTAAACAAAACTTCAGAATCCTGTCTTAGAAGTACCCCTGTTGTGGTAACATCAATGTCTTTGATAGTGTGGAATTCCTCCATTTTGGCCCATCGGTGTCTGACAAAATGGGGATCTGTGCCTAAGTTAGCAGTGTGCAACCGTAAGCATGAACATCAAGGTATCCTGAGGCCATGTTCCTTTTCAGTTGGTTTTCCTTTTCATCAACAAAAAACTGAAATTTGGAAGAAAAAACATTTTCTCAATATTTTTTCTACAATTAGGTGAAATAAAATAAGCATGATATTTTATCACTGATTTACATAACAAAAAGTGCATAATATGTATACAAAGCTGTATTCTGACAAAAACTTCAATCAATTATCTTTTGGTATCCTGCCTTGTCAAAAAAAATAATTCTAAAACATTTTTTACCGCCTACACTGAATTTTAGGCCAACAAATGTGTAAACCAACTAACACAAAATAAGAGGCCTGATGTTACATATTGAAGATTAATGATATGTATACCTGGAATCAACTGATTAATGTTTTTTACTATCAGTCATTCATTTACTGTAAACAGGGAATTTTTTGCGACCGTTTTATTATTGCGAGTTTTGCGAACGAGACTCAAGCGCAAAAATTAAAAACGCAAAAATAAGTATAAATAATACATACATACTTTATTCATTGCAACACGTCATCAAAAGTTGAAATCATCAACCAGAACCACAAGTTACTCAATAAGTTAAAAACACAAATGAATGCAGAATGGTCACACAATACATCACAAATGACAGTGTAAACAGACCAATTAGTGTCTTCTTATATAGTTTGCATTCAAACTCACAGTCATGACACTTAGTTAAGTCAATTATTGTGTTTGATAATTGGTCGCAATCCCTTCCAGTCAACTTTCAAGCCAACTCAGATTAACTAGCTTCGGAGAGAAGCTGTCTATTGTTTGGTAATCGAGGGGTCATCTCAACATGGAAACTCGCAAAAATATCTCGTCGCAGTATTGTCTTTGGTGTGGTATTCGCAATATTTTAACGGCGCAGAAATAAAGCTGTTTACAGTATTCATTCAATGAAATAGATATGAAGGTACATGTTTTCTCCAATTCTTACATTTTACATTTTATTTATTTTTAGGATTTAATGGAAATGACAAAGAATGTATTAAACAAGAAAGTTCATGTTTTGGAATCTGCAATTATATCTGTTAACAAGTACACTTCATGTCATGTCATGTCATGTCATGTCATGTCATGTCATGTCCTACTCTGCAGGAGATTGCTCGCCAATTATTCCCAGTCAAAACAGAACAGAAAACTTGGTAAGTTATTATTTAGTATTTATCTTGTTTATAATAATAATGTAACAGGGTATTTCACGACACACAAATGTGCGTCCAGTTCGCACGAATGTTGAGAATGGACCCAGAAAAATATTATACTGTCTCCCAGAGGAGGCACGATAACATTCATTGTACCTACAACACATCAACAGCAGTTATGGGTGTCTGTTATTTCACCCATCAATCATGACCACCGTCCACATGATCATTGATTCATTCCAGGCTCTAAAGTAATTACCAAACATATACTACAGCATTTTTATGATTTTCAGGACACTCATATTGCCAGCAAGGACCCTTAAAATTAGTCACTGGGGGTCCCCTGAACCCCAACTTTTGTAAGTCAAGGTAAAACCCTGATGTAATATTATGTGTACTTACCGTATATCGCTGTGTATAAGGCGACCCCACGTATAAGACAACCCCCCTGTACACGCCTTCAAAATCAAACCAAAATCCTATACTCCGTGTATAAGGCGACCTGGAATGAAGTACATCACAAGTGCGCACATAAACCTTATATATGCAATAAGAATATGTTTATCTTGCGTTGTTATTTCTACAATGATTAGTCGCGTGTGTAACTCCAGCACATGTTGCCATTTTGTATTTACACGGTACAACACCGGTATTGCACTGGATTCCATACAAGTGTGCATGCTCAAAGTGCTAATATTATTACCCAGGTCAGTGGATCTGTGTGCACTCGATTTTCCCTAAGGAGTATAATACCCAAGCTGCCACATTTCCATCTCATCCCACCATGTTTCCATGGCAACAAGTTGGACTTAGGTTCTATAGGGTAGAGTTCGTTTCCGGAGCATAACTCAAAACCCATTCAATACTTTCTTACAAAACTTTGCATGTTTACCAGACAAATACTGAACTGGTGCCTTTTGCTATTGAGGAATTTTAGAAATTTTTATTTTTTGCGTTTCCATGGCAACAAGTTGGACTTCGGTTCTATAAGGGTGGTGTTCATTTCCAGAGCGTAACTCAAAAAACGTCAAATTCTTTCTTACAAAACTTTGCATGTCTACCAGGCACATACTGATCTGGTGCCTTTTTATGTTTAGCACTTTTAGAAGTTTTTATTTTTTATGTTTCCATGGCAACAAGTTGGACTTAGAAAACAATAAGGTTAGGGTTCGATTCCGGATGAAATTTTCCACATCTAGCAGACACATGCTGAATTGTTGCCTTTTGCTTTTTATGATTTTAGAAATTTATATTACTGCGCATTATTTATAGTTACTATATAAAGAAACAAAATTCTAATGTTCCACATGGTGGGGGATAGGAATAACACTGTTTTCTTGTTAGATTTGATACAAAAATCTAACGCTAGTCACCAAGGTTTGACACAACCAAAAATGATAAATATATATAAGGAATATTCAGGGAATAATCTTTTACTTCGAGACAACTGCAAGTTTAACACATCAAAGTTTGACACAGTGGTGTTTGACTGTTTGAGGTTTAACCTGCCATAGACATAACAGTGTTGAAACAATGGTGCTAATTTCTAAGGCTAGGTACCTTCTTGCAGCAAAGATCTGGTAAACTATTTTTAACTGACTGCTAATATTTTTCAGAGTGGGGATGTTGAACCAGAAGAATGTCTGTCTGATGGTGAGTCTGTGATATCCTCATCACTGCTCACCGTCACAGGTGTGCTCTCAAGACCAAGGGGAACAACTCCACTTAGACCATCTGAAGTTAAAAAGCACAGAGTTACCTCCCTTCTTAGCCTGGCGTCTGCTAACCCATGTCAACCATCACTCAGTCAGGATGAAGCAGAAAATAAAACATTTGTTGATGAACAGTGTCACTCCTTCAGTGTTCCAACAAAATCTAATGTGCACTCTAAGCCAGAAGAGCAGCAGGATGGAAGGCAGGACGAAAAAGCCTCAAGAGGTAATTACACACAGATTTTGGATGAAATCTTTGGAAGTAAGGCACCTCAACCAGATAGTCGAAACAAGTCAGAAATAGCTGGGAACCTACATGGGCTCGTAATCACCCAAGTAGATTTTCAAGGAAAAAGTTCCATCAGTGAAACAACACAAGAAAAGTCTTCTGAGTACTTGAAATTAAATGTGTCTCAAAAAACGAGTTCTGCTTCTGCTACGAGTTCTCAGTATTCTGAGTTACTTTTGACTGAGAAATGTTTGAAACAATCAAGTCATCAAGTTGAGTTTGATGGTGATGATCGCCTGCGTCCTGAATACAATCAGCCTGTTATGAGTGGAGATACAAGAAGAGACATATTTGCTCCTCTTGAAGTTATTAGGGATGTTACACCCTCAGCAGAGGAAGGCATCCCTCTCGTTGATCTGTCTGAGAAGACCTGCTCCAGACTACCAGCTCACCAACATGGACTCAACAATGTTCAGATAGATGAAAACTTGCAGACTCAAATACTAATTGACACTGCAGGCAACGAGCAGCCTCCATCAGCCCATCAACAGTTAGTATCTCAGCTGACAAAGGAGGACCTGACTACCAATCAACACCCAGAATCTCAACTGATACAGGAGGACCTGACTACCAATGAACACCCAGTATCTCAGCTCACACAGGAGGACCTGTCTACCAATCAACACCCAGAATCTCAGCTGACACAGGAGGACCTGTCTGCCTGTCGACACCCAGAATCTCAGCTGACACAGGAGGACCTGACTACCAATCAACACCCAGAATCTCAGCTGACACAGGAGGACCTGTCTGCCTGTCGACACCCAGAATCTCAGCTGACACAGGAGGACCTGTCTGCCTGTCGACACCCAGAATGTCAACTGACACAGGAGGACCTGTCTACCCAACTGTTGGACTTCATTATAGAATTCACCCAGGAGTCCCGAGCATCATCTGGAATAGTTCAGTCAGCACCCAGTCCAGAAAGGCTACTGGAAACCCTTTCAGAGCATCAAAACAAGTGTTCTCCCCATGAACCATTACTTAATGATAAAAATTCAGAGAAATTACTTCACCCAAATCAGAAAACTTCAAGCATGCCCAGAAATGTAGCAAATGGTCCAAATTCAGAAACCATAGGAAAACACTCTCAAGACACACATTTATTTGCAAGATCCAAAAATGGAAAGAAAAAGTCAATTAAATTTTGCCCTCCTACCTTGAGTCAGAAGGATGTGATGAGAGGACAGAGTCAGTGTGTACCTCTTCCACTGCGTCATGGTTGCGAACCTGCCAAGGCGGAAACTTGTCCACGGTCATCCTCAAAGTCTATTCAAGGACTGCAGAACAAGAAGTCTGATGAAGCACAATTAGCACAAAATAAATCGGTGGATTTTCACAATAAGACTGCTATAGTAACAGAGGGAGCTAAGACGGTAATGTATAAGATTCATACTCTGATCCAGAGGTGTGTGATCGGGATCCACATCCCTCTGTTTGAAGCATACTGAAACATCACAAAACTAACAAGTAATTGACTAATTTTGGCTTGCAGATGCGAATTGTTTCACAAATGAATTCTTTGCATTTATAAAGCATTTTTTAAAGTTTTTAAGTGCAACGCCACCCCCCCCATCTCTTCCACAAAGCTGTATCCATGCACGATTTCTTCATCTTTTTGACCAGTTTTTCAAGGACCATCTAAAGAAATCTGAAAAATGAAATTGTCAATGATTTTATTCTTAAATTTTCAACTTGGATACAATGGTTGAATGCAAATGATGTTTCTAATGCAGATATCTTCTCTTGTTTTGATATGAATTTGGAAATGACATAAATTATGAATTGATCATCATGAGGATTTCATGTTTTTTTAATGTTTGTCTGACATATTGACAGTCACTGCTTCCAGATATTGTTTATTTCTCTGCAACACCTAAACAATGTTTTTTAGACACACAGCATTTTTTTTCAGGTGATAACAGTCTTTTTTAATAACCTTAGGCAAAATTATTTTATCTATTTGTTTTTTAGAATGTTTTTATCAAACACTTTCACTATTATCATCTTATTTTATTGATGTGACATTGTACAAATTATCTTGACCTGAAGGATGCTCAGCTTGACATGCTTTGCCCTTATTTCAGTGGACAGGGGCAGCCAATGAGAGGGATATCATGCTTAACTTGATGGCCAGATATCAAGCTATGGAAACAGCTCTTCAAAACATACCTGGTAGATCTCGTGTCTGTAAGTGTGTGTTTATAATCAGCCGTAGTAAGACCTGAACATTGGGATCAGGTGTTGGACTGTGTCTGTGTGACCTGGCTGATGTGAAGCATTGTGCCCCGACATTGCTGAGGTCCAAGAAATTTGCACTTATATAGTGACGTGCATGCACGTGTGTGTGTGTGTGTGTGTGTGTGTGTGGCTGCTTGTATTAGTCCGGAGGGATGCCGATTTTATAGTGCTAGCCCCCTGACATACCATGCCCTCTCAGACACAGTATGACCCGTGAAGATTCCAGGTTAGAATAGGTCTTCAGCAACCCATGCTTGCCGTAATTGGTGACTATGCTTGTCGTAAAAGGCCACTAACGGGATCGGGTGGTCAGGCTCGCTGACTTGGTTGATGCATGTCATCAATCCCAATTGCGTGGGTTGATGCTCATGATATTAATCACTGGATTGTCTGGTCCAGACTCGATTATTTACAGACCGCCGTCATATAGCTGGAATATTGCTGAGTGCGGCGTTAAACAATAAACAAAAAAAATCAGACACAGTATACTGATTCCGAGCCGACCAGTCCTTGTTTTAGCCCCGTAAAGCCAAGCGCCAGACAGGGTAACAACAAGTACCATATTTTACCGTCTTTGGTATGACGCGGCCAGGAATCGAAACCCCTGACCTTCCGCTTTCCAGGCAGACGTCGCTTTAAATGTTATATAGGTATGTCATGACATGTCAGCTTGATGTGGGAGGAAAGCCCCAAGTCTTAGGCGTTCGAGCACAGGTATGGTGCTGACAAATCTAGAAACATGCCTGTTATACAGCTGGAATATTGCTGAGTGTGCCTATTATATAGCTGGGGTATTGCTGAGTGTGCCTGTTATACAGCTGGGGTATTGCTGAGTGTGCTTGTTATATAGCTGGAATATTGCTGAGTGTGCCTGTTATATAGCTGGGGTATTGCTGAGTGTGCCTGTTATATAGCTGGAATATTGCTGAGTGTGCCTATTATATAGCTGGGGTATTGCTGAGTGCGGCTGTTATATAGCTGGAATATTGCTGAGTGTGCCTGTTATATAGCTGGAATATTGCTGAGTGTGGCTGTTATATAGCTTGAGTATTGCTGAGTGTGCTTGTTATATAGCTGGAATATTGCTGAGTGTGGCTGTTATATAGCTGGAATATTGCTGAGTGTGCCTATTATATAGCTGGGGTATTGCTGAGTGTGCCTGTTATATAGCTGGAATATTGCTGAGTGTGCCTGTAATATAGCTGGAATATTGCTGTGTGTGGCTGTTATATAGCTGGGGTATTGCTGAGTGTGGCTGTAATATAGCTGGAATATTGCTGCGTGTGGCTGTTATATAGCTGGAATATTGCTGAGTGTGGCTGGAATATTGCTGCGTGTGGCTGTTATATAGCTTGAGTATTGCTGAGTGTGCCTGTTATATAGCTGGAATATTGCTGAGTGTGGCTGTTATATAGCTGGAGTATTGCTGAGTGTGCCTGTTATATAGCTGGAATATTGCTGAGTGTGGCTGTAATGTACCTGGAATAGTGCTGAGTGTGGCATTAAAAACCAAACCCAAACATTCCAATGTTCACAGTGGACATGTCAACAGAACTGACAGAAATACAAGGAACAGTAGCACAGCTGAATGAGCAGCACAAGACTGAGCGAGGACGGCTGTCGGTGAGGGTGGGTCTGAAGGGTCTGTCCAAGGCCAGCAAGAAGCAGCTGAAGAAGGAGCTGCAGGGTCTGGGAGACAGACAGAAGCACCTGCTACAGGCGGTGCGCAGACATAAGGAGGTCAACTCCAGGCTGAAGCAGGTGCTTGCTGGCTTCAACACAACCAGAACAACCTGTGCTGGCAGGGAGTCCAGTGAAGAGACACAGGGGGCCATGGGCAGCATTGCTGTATCAAAACTGGCAGCTGTGGGGTCAAACATGCAAGGGGGAGTGCATGATAGCCCAGGGAGAAGTCAAATCATAGGAGAATCTACCGGGGTCTCTAAGATGGAGGGAGGCAAATGTGACATTGTCCAGACATCTCTTGACTACACTTCAGCTAAAAATAGAATTGTTTCTGAGTCAAGTTTTCAAAAGGATTATGCACCAAAAGAGTTTCTGAGAGATCAAAATGCATGGATTGGGCACACAGGTGCCAGAACATACGATGCCATAGAAGCCCAAACAAGCAATGTTACTGACAATGTTGAAAGAAAGAAGGAATCTTCGGGTAATAACCTGAATGTTGTAAATCAGAAATACAGAGCCGATAATATTTGTGATAAAAGCATGGAACACATACATATTTCAAAATCAATTCCAACTGGTGTCGAAGATGACAGTGTTATCACAGCCACAGGTAATGAGTTGCTGGTTAAAGGAGATGTACGTCGTGCTCCATGTTCACAAGTCAAGGAGACAGAGGCTTGTGTGAGAAGCGATCACAGGAACAGTGCTGGGGCTGGGGAAGCTTCACAGATCAGTGGGATAGAAGACAGCCAACAAGACCTGTTCAGCCAGGGCTCCTCGGACCAGGACATGGATAGGAGGATGGTTGAAGAGATTATTGCCACACAGACACTGAGCCAGGAGTCTGACTGCCCTGTATTAGGTGACATCAGACATGTAGGTGGTGGGGTGAGCCTGGGAATACATGGCGAGGTGTCAGGGAGGGAGGGAGCTGACCAGGGGGGACTGAATAAGGGAAAGATGGAAGAGGATGTGACAGACAGTTTGGTTAAGGGGAGGAAGGACAGGGAGGTTGATGGAAGAATGGACTCACAAGTCAGTGGCAAGATGAACAGACACGTTGATGAAAGAATGGATGGACAAGCTGATGGATGGATGAACAGAGGGGTTGCTGGAAGAATAAACACACAGGTTGCTGGAAAGATTGATAGACAAGTTGATGAAAGGATAGATGGACAAGCTGATGGATGGATGAACAGAGGAGTTGATGGAAGAATAGACACACAGGTCGATGGAAAGATTGACAGACAAGTTGATGAGAGGATAGATGGACAAGCTGATGGATGGATGGACAGAGGAGTTGATGGAAGAATGGACACACAGGTCGGAAAGCTGGACACACAGGTTGATGAAAGGATAGATGGACAAGCTGATGGATGGATGAACAGAGGAGTTGATGGAAGAACTGACACACAGGTCGGAAAGCTGGACACACAGGTTGATGAAAGGATGGATGGACAAGCTGATGGATGGATGGACAGAGGAGTTGATGGAAGAATAAATGCACATGTTGATGGAAAGCAGAATACAGGTGTTGACGTTGGTGAAACGAACAGTAGTGAAACTTCCTCTGGTCCTATTAACCAACACATGGATAGTAAAATAAGTAACAGTGTAGGAAGTAAGACTGGGGAGAAGGCAAATGTATCTGTTGACGTTGAGAAAGACAGTACAGAGAAGCCAGTATGTGTTTTTGATGATAAAGCAGAGTTAGACAACTCAGGTGATGGTCCAGGAAGGAAGACAATGAAGAGGAAGAGTGAGGAGTCTATCACGCTCGGTTATGTAGGGCCAAGTGAGGGTAAAGCAAAGAAAATCAAGATGGGAACGTGTATAACAGGAGAGATGGTAGGGTCAGTTGGGACTGTCTGTCAGTCGAGATCTGATGTATCAAACACCCAGGTGATGGGGGTGAGTATTCTTCATCTGGAAGTACGGTCATCAGGCAGTAGAGACTCAGAGGGAGAAACTGAAGAATCGAAGGTTGCATCAGACAGGAAGACAGGCTTTGTGCTACCTGGGAAACAGACTCTTTGCAATCAAGTCAAGGGGTCACTAATTCCCATGAGTGTTAAAAGCAAGGACAGACATTTGAATAAAAGACAACAAGAAATCGTTAAGGAGAATAGAAGTAACAGTAACAATACAGCAAAGACAACATATGGCCAGCCTTTGGGTAACCATTGCGATAAAGGCATAATGTCAGCAACTGTAGGAGATGTGGGAAGTCTGCCCAGTGTAATAGCCTCTTTAAAGGCCAGCACTGTTGCTCCTGGTCCGAAAGAAGTCATGGGTCTGTCACCTCAAGAACGAGGCACAGAAAAGGAAAAAGACATGTCTCTGATATCACCTCCTCATCCTCATCCGATGAAGAATATTACAACTCCTCCCCAGAAACTGCCGGCTGATAACTTGCCAGCCTCTGCTGTCCTGTCGCCAGGGTCAACTGTTGCCAGTAGCGACGTGTTCCCAGTGTCCTGTCGGGAACTGGTCCGGAGGATGTTGGAGAGAGATGCCAGGGAGAAACAGTCGAGGAAGGACAATGGCTTGCTCCAGAAAGAGGCTCCAAGTGATTACATTGCTATACCCGTTGGAAGGATACAAGACTTCAGTGAAAACCTTCAACTCAAGGATGTGGAAGAGAAAACCAACAGAACGCTTAACACCCAGACTCATACATTTGTGCAGGTACTTTGCATGTATTAATTTTAAGCCAAAGCTAAGGTGACACTTTATTATCCCCCGCCACGAAGTGGAAGGGGGATATAGGAATGGGTTCCGTCCGTCCGTCCTTCCGTCTTTCGGTCCTTCAGTCCGTCACATTTCGTTTCCGGAGCAGATCTTGAAAACCGTACCATATTTCTTCATCAAACTTGGCACATAGATAGGTCTAGTGGTGAACTGGTGCCTTTTGATAGTTTGGGATTTAAAAAAAATAAAAAATTTTGAGTTTCCATGGCAGCGACTTTGATTTAGACTGAAAATGGCGGTAGTCCTCGTTTCTGGAGCAGATCTTGAAAACCGTACTATATTTCTTCATCAAACTTGGCACATAGATAGGTCTAGTGGTGAACCCGTGCCTTTTGATAGTTTGGGATTTTTCAAAAAATTATTTTTTGAGTTTCGGCAGCAACTTTGATTTAGACTGAAAATGGCAGTAGTCCTCGTTTCCGGAGCAGATCTTGAAAACCGTACTATATTTCTTCACCAAACTTGGCACATAATGTCATCTCACAGTATTGAATACATTTCCTTTCTTGTTGGTAAGTTCTGCATTGCTTGAGTGTATGTTCCTCCAAAAGTGTCAGGGACACAGTTGTTGCATTCACTGACTAACTTCATGCAGAAACACAACTCATTACAAATACAACAGTGTAACTACTCAACTGTATAAACACTATATATTCCTGTCAACCATACTCTGTACTTCACTTGCTTGATAGGTGTCAGAACCTTCGCCGAAACCATCGCACCTAATTGTAATAAAGAAGTTGTCCGTCCATATGTCTCATCCTTACTCATTACAAATTCAGTTACATATTCTATCATAAACTGCAGATGGAAAAACAACAACAGTAATAACTTTTTTTAGTGCTGCAATTAGGCCATTTACATTGCACACAACCCGACATGTCATATTGGCGGGGGATGTGAGTATTTCATGCTTGTTTATATATTGGTTTTATGGATTCGGCTGACCAGGACCAAAAGCCACAATTTAGGAAATAAAAAAATTCAAATTTATTTATATTTGATGGCCAACCAATCTTTCATGGTGTAGAAAAACTCATACAAAATAAAAGTAATTATTAACTTTATGAATAATAACTAACCAAGTACATTGTATGTTGGTCAATGCCACAACAGTATTTTTTCAGCTATTGATATGTTTTGTTTATTTCTCTTCATTACAGTTTAAATGACATACTCGTGTACTTATCTCCTTGCATCAGATATGTAAACATTTACTTCAGCCACAAGTTCCCCCAGCTCCAAGACCTGTTGCCACATCCAAGATGGCTGACCTCCCTACCCTGGTTGAGAACGGGGTGCTGACTCCTGGCAAGGGTGTTTTGTCAGTCAGAGCAAAGGTCAGGCTGTGTTAGCGGATAATGCTGTGTTCAGTGTATATATTTGTTTGTTGTTTAACACCAACCAGCAATGTTCCAGCTAAATGCTGACAGTCTATATATAATCAATCAGGAACAGACAATCCAGTGATTGACATGAGCATCGATCCATCAATTGGGATACGATCATGTCATTTGTGCTGTTTAATGTTGGACAACTTCTAAATTGACTAATCTGCTGGTGCACTCCATAGAGTGAATGAGTGAGTGAGTTGGGTTTCATGCTGCTAGGAACAGCTTTTCAGTTGTCATGGTGTGCGAGCTTGTTACATGGCTAAGGGATGTAGGTCTAAGATGTGTACCACTTTGGTGAATTCATACCAAGCACAGTTGTGGTGGTGACAAACCAAGAATAATATTCAAGTCGAATGTGCATGGTGGAGTTCATCACATCGTTGAACAGATTGTTGGTTGGTTTGTTTGTTGTTTTACGTAGCACTCAGCAATATTCCAGCTATATGACGGTGGTCTGTAAATAATCGAGTCTGGACCAGACAAACCGGTGATTGACATCATGAACATCGAGCCACGCAATTGGGATCGATGACATGCATCAACCAAGTCAGCGAGCCTGACCACGCCATCCCGTTAGTCGCCTTTTACGACAAGCATAGTCGCCTGTTAGGGCCAGCATGGGTTGCGGAAGACCTTTTCTACCCCGGAATCTTCACCGGTCTCTTTGAACAGAATTTCAGTCATATCCCGAAAAGAAGCAATAAGCTCTGGCTTCAACCATGCTGTCTGCCATGAGTGCTGGCTTATGCAACTGAGCATAACAAGAGACTGGACAACCGTCTATAATGACAGTGTCAATAGACATTGAGGCAACACTAGGATGCATTTCTGAACTGAAATGTCAGTGGTAGAAAGTCCAAACTGAAGGAGTCTTGGATGTTTGGCATTACTTGATTCAGGGGGGCCCACTCGTCTTGTCGCCGCAATTCGCTGTGCAGAGTTGCGTCCTTTAGGAAACCTATGATTGTGGGTTCGAATCCCGGTTTGCCCCGATTATGTTTCTAGGTTTGTCAGCACCATACCCGTGCTCGTGGGTTTCACTGAAGTGGTAAACGTCTGAGACCTGCATCACTTCGGGCTTTCCTCCCACATTAAGCTGACACGCCATGATATGACTGGAATACTGTTAAAAGTGGTGTTAAACCAGACTCACTCACTCACTCACTTACTTGATTCAGGATCATAATTGCAGTGAATAAAGTTCAGTCAGCAGATTTCTGTCACCCAGACTGCTTGGATCTCCCAAGGTGCCCTAAGGAGTAGGAGAAATTGTAGACACTGTATTGTGAATACACTCTATGAACAGTCATATATGATGCTATTCTCCTCAGGGCAAAGTGTTTCAGGCCAGCTTGAGCAGTAAGGTATAGGAGAGTCTGAGGACACTGTATTGTGAATACACTCTGTGAACAGTCATATATGATGCTATTCTCCTCAGGGCAAAGTGTTTCGGGGGAGCTTGAGCAGTAAGGTGTAGGAGAGTCTGAGGACACTGTATTGTGAATACACTCTGTGAACAGTCATATATGATGCTATTCTCCTCAGGGCAAAGTGTTTCGGGCCAGCTTGAGCAGTACGGGTCACATCATTGGTTCTGGGGGGCAGGTGTTCCGCACACCCAAGTCCTGGTGTCAGGCAGTCTGTGGAGCTGTGACAGTCAAGAAGCTGCAGTCTTACAACATGGTGAGTCACTTGGCTGCAGTCTTACAACATGGTGAGGCACTAGGCTGCAGCCTTGCAGCAGGGTGAGTCACTAGGCTGCAGTCTTGCAGCAGGATGAGTCAGTAGGCTGCAGTTTTACAGCAGGGTGAGTCACTTGGCTGCAGTTTTACAGCAGGGTGAGTCACTAGGCTGCAGTCTTAGAGTAGGGTGAGTCACTCGCTGTACTCTTACAGAAGAGTGAGTCACGAGCTATGTAACAAGTAGATTTGACAGCAAACCAGTAACATGAGCCATCTAGTCCCCCTATTATTTCAATTAATTTGATGATGGTTATGTTTTCTACCCAATGTTTTGTAACCTACATTTGCTGGTATCAATAGAAACTGTTAACCAAGATTGACGTTAAGATTAAGAACATTTTTGGTTTTGCAGTGATGCAGCCATGAAATCGGACTGCCTATATCACAGGTTGTTACAGTGATTTGAAACCTCTGAATCAAAGGCATGTTAGACACACCTTTCATAAACTTCAAATACAATCTTTGTCAAATATTTTCAGGTACTTTACAAGGGGCATCCGTTGTCATCATTTGTGGTAGAAAGCACAGAATCTTCAGGTAATTCTCACACGTCTCTTCCATCAAGGCCTGGCCCAAAGGGCAGAATACATCCAGTGTATCAGTTAAAACAGCTCGCATTCTGAACAATTGTGTCAGATAATTAATGAATAACCCATATACAGTATAAAGCATGAAAAGTCTACAGGTAATTTAATCCAGGTTTGTGGAATTTGATGTTTTCTCAATAATAAATATAGTACTATTTTTGTTACAGGACACAAAGGAATAAGAAGCCAGACAGACTGTTATGGCAAACCTGTTGTGTCATCAATTACCAGGTATTAAGAATTTCTATACATTTGGGAAACACTAAAAAATGATTCAAATTCTTTTTTGAGAGGATACCAAATGCAATGTTCAGCCTGCCCTTCTGCCTTACTACTAAATGACCCATCATTTGATTCTCCAGAAGTACATCTTCCCGAGGCAAGGGAGTTAAGGGACACTGAAAGTCCAGTTTCCACCCTTGCCGAACTAGGCTTGCTGTTCTGGGCTTGACTGTAGCGCCACCAGTGACTATTACGAATTGTGTCCCTTCTATGCCCTTTTTGACCAATTAGATTCCACCTCTCATATCACTTGCATTTGCTTCAAACAAAATGGCGGCAGCCAGTCAAGACGATCTGATCGATGATCAAGATATATGTCGTAATAAAACGAGTCTTACCTTGCATAGTGTATCAAATTATGTGAACACCTTGATTAAAAACATGAAAAGATTTGGAAAATATATGTCATCGCCCAGTTGACGGTACACATCAACAATTGCAAATCCTGCAGTCGACCTAAATCTGCACGTTGAAATCCATGTTGTTTACAAACCAGATGTTGATTTCGTTACTCAATTTTGATCGGACTATGCATGGACTCATTAGTCCAGCCAAAATATAACTCCATAATTGCAGACTAGTTCATCAAGGGTGGAAACTGGACCTTTACAGTTAGTTAACGCCCTTGCCTAGGGAAGATGCTGCAAGTACAGATGAAGAAAATGGCTATGTGGGTTCCCTTCGCTTTAAGCACTAGGCTACCCGACCTCCATCCCCCACCCACCCCCACTAACACTAAAATCGTATTATCCCCTGCCCCCAACAAGGTTGGTGGGGGTTATAGAAATGGGTTCCGTTCGTCCGTCCGTCCGTCCATCTGTGTGCGTGTGTGTGTGTGCGTCCCAAAATCGTTTCTGAAGCATAACTCAAAAACTGTAAAATACTTTCTTACAAAACTTTGCATGTCTACCAGGCACATACTGAACTGGTGCCTTTTGCTATTTAGGAATTTTATAAATTTTTGTTTTTTACGTTTCCATAGCAACAAGTTGGATTTAAGTTTTAATATGGGGTGGGTTCACTTATGGAGTATAACAAATAAACAGTTGAATATTTCCTTGCCAAACATTGCATGTCTATATATAAAGCGCATACTGAACTGGTGCCATTTGATATTAAGGAGTTTTAGAAATGTTTATTTTAGAATTTCCATTGCAGCTATTTTGACATGGGCTAAGAGAAATGTTGGGTCAGTTACCTCCTTTGGGACCATAACGTGTTAAAATGGGCGGGGGATATAGATGACTTCTTCAACTATACGCTTGTTAATTTAAAATGGAGTTAAACAATAAACAAACAAATGCAGTGTTTAACTACACTCACTCACTCACTCACTCACTCACTTTCAGATCCCTGATGACAACAGACAAATCAACAAGTCTACCCAGACAGTCCTCCGGTGTTTCGTCCACAACCATTGCAGCCAACAAGGTTCGAACCAGGCCACTCACTCACTCATTTACGAAGTCTCTTGCCAAAAGAACAGGAACCACACACCCTAAGACTTCCCCAGCAGCAAACAGGCAAACTGGTATCACTTTGCCAGTTCCACTCCCTGTGACCCGAACAAATAAGAGCTCAGTTGCTAATGGTGAAGAGATGGTTGCTAAGGGCAACAAGGAAACCAGTGCGTCCATGTCAGAGTTGTTGAGGGTACTGTGGAGATGTACCATCAAGCTGATTGATGATGCAGAGATTGTCCGCTGTCCAGAAATGGATAGTACTTTCTGGATGACTAATTTTAAAGATATCAGATTGTCAGACAGTTTGTGGGATTCTGTTGATAGTTGGAAATAAGCATTAAATAACAGTGGTCAGTTTAATTTTATCAATTGTTGGAGATACTTGTTTCAATTTACTTTTTTCAATGTTAAGTTTCCAGAATTATGTATGTTTAAAAATAATAAATGATTTATAGCACATAATATTCCAAGATATAATACTTTGAGTTCAAGTACATGTATCTGCATTTCACAATGGCATCGTACGCTTTATTATTTAAATTCTATTTTAAACCAATGAGGTGAGGTGAAACACCCTGTCCAAGATTATTGCGTGCGTGCGTGCATGCGTGCGCTTGTACTAGTCCGGACTGATGCCGATTTATAGTGCTAGCCCACTACAATACCATGCCGCAGTTTTAACATGAATACCCCACTCAGACACAGTATACTGACTCCGACCCGGCCAGTCCTTGTTTTAGCCCCTTAATGCCGAGCAGCAGACAGGGTAACAACAAGTACCAACATTACATCTTTTGGAAGGACGCGTGTGGGGATCGAACTCCCGAACCTTCCGCTCTCCAGGCAGACACTCTACCACTAGACCACGGAGGCGCTCTCTTCAAAGCAATGAAGTAACCACCAGAAAAATCTGACTGCATTGTAAACCATAAACAACAAGTTAAGTTTGATGTCAGAGATCAAGCTGTTGTTGACAAACAGTTCAAACATGAGTGAAACTAAAACTTTTTTGATAAGAGCAGATAGATAAATGTGAAAAATACTAGGGCTGCAACGAATACACTATGAGGCGAATACGATTTGTATCACGAATAAAGGGTAACGAATATGAATATTTATTCACGAATACAATAATAGGTCAGCAGTTGATGTATTGTTGATTATATTCTTCACTGAAAAATAACAACATGAAGTATTTGACATTGTTGGTTAATTATTAATATAGATTATACATTCATATACTGCACTTATCCAGGTACTAGTATCGGCTCAAACATGACAATGACCAGAGACCAGAATACTGTCAAATTAGATATAAGAGTGTTCTCTTTAAAGAAATCTCTGCTTATAATATGTTCTTATGGATATTTTGAGGTACAGGATATGTAAATGCACATGACTGCATATTAGTATATATTCGATTCTAGTGACCACGAATAATGAATTCAATTCTTGAATGGATACGGTTCGATTACCCGAATACGCGAGTGAATCGTAACAGCCCTATAAAATACACAAGAAAATACAGATTCTCTCAGATACATTTTCATTTTTTATTAAGGGCACATATACAGTACAAGTTTCTGAAAGAATACGAAATATCCTGCTCTTCATACATTTTGGCACAGAACTGACAAACCCAAAAGTCTTGCCAAATGAAATAAAAACAACACATACTGTATTCCACGTAATAAGCGCCCATGGCAACATTTGCTAAGTTATTGGCTAGTGAACAATCCCAATTAGCACAAACCTAGAAACATAATCGGGGGGAACCAGGATTCGAACACACAATCATAGGTTTCTGGGGTGCCTAAGGGACGCAACTCTGCACAGCGAATCGCGGCGCCTAAGACGACTGGGCCCCCATGAATCAAGTAATGCCAAATATCCAAGACTCCTTCAGTTTGGACTTTCTACGACTGACATTTCAGTTCAGAAATGCATCCCCATAACTAAAAATTGGTGTCATAACTAAAAAATATTTTTAATAAAAAACATGACTAAAGAATATGACATATGTATTAATTTGAAACCCAGATCTCAGCCTTTAATATATCAAGTGCCTGACCCATTAAAAGCATTGAAGTAAATGAACAATTCATATCACAGTGGTCTTTGTTTACCCTATTTCCTAAAACTTATACAACACCAATATTCATACAGCAATACTATAATCCATTTGCTGCAATATGGTACTGATGAAAAGCAAAACAGATATAAATCTGAAAGCAACCATTCGTCTTAAATGGCATGAAACATATTTATTTGTCCATACCAACTCGTCACCATTATTTCAGTATGATTTTGCAGCATACAGACTATAAAACCCTGACTCCATGACCCTTCTGACCACAATTAAAAGTGACTGAACATAACATACATTTCTTGACATCCAACTAATCCTTGTGTCTATATGCAATATTCATAATAGACATACAGAGAACAAAACCAACATTTAATTTTCTCACACATGTAAACATGTAAAAATATACAGAATGAAATTCAACAAAGACTCTCCAGTTATAACAACAATATCAAGCAATTTGCAAACACATTTCAATGGCAAGATGTTATGATTCCTCAGACTCACCGCTTTTTCATCATTTTTTACAACCAAACCCTAAGAATCTGTCAATGTGTTCTACCATGAATTTGGAAATTACTAGATTCTGACTGTTCAATCAGAGGGTATCAAATCACAATAAACACCCTCTGATTGAAACAGCTGCATGTTTGGTCTTCAATTCAATTTACTGTGGTTATATCTACAGATAACCGAACTCTACATTTAAAACAGTGTGTTATCTCCTAAGTGATTGACGTTTACCACTAGTTGAAACCCATGAGTTAGTGAGTGAGTTGGATTTAACGCCGCTTTTAACAGTATTCCATTTATATCACGGCGTGTCAGCTTAATGTGGGAGGAAAGCTCGAAGTGATGCAGGTCTCAGATGTTTACCACTTCGGTGAAACCCACAAGCACGGGTATGGTGTTCACAAACCTAGAAACATAATCGGGGCGAACCGGGATTCGAACCCACAATCATAGGTTTCTGGCGTGCCAAAGGGACTTAACTCTGCACAGCAAATCGCAGTGCCTTAGACGAATGGACCACCTGTGCCCCCATGAAACCCATGAGCATGAAGCAAGCAGGAAAAAGTTCATAATAAATTTGATGAAAGGTTGATTATCAGTCTTGGTTGGCTGCTGTTGCGTATGAAGTGAAACCCTGTTATCAAAACGGTTCCGTTTCCCAGTCACCCTCAGTAACTACTCAGCTTTTGATAGGGACAATCAAATGTCATTCTATCTAATTATACATGACAAATGGGAATCAGTTTTGTATATCATATAAAGATGAAAAAAATCAAAAATAGATTACCGTATTCGACGTAATATGTGTCCCGCTCTTATAAGCGCCCACAGCGATATTTGCTAATATATTGGCTAGTAAACAATCCCAATTAGCACTCCTTCCGATTGATCAATGTACACAAGACGTATTTATACGTGTATAATACATGTGTTATATGCATCCTTAATTATGGGAAATTAAATTCTGGAAAAATATATCTGTCGTATATAAACATTACTGGCTATCAGCATACACCACGAAATTTACAATCTTTCAACTCTGTTGTTTTTCACGAAAATAATATTCTAATAAGAGCCCCCTATTTCTAATTTTTAGAGCGCCCTGGGCGCTTATTATGTCAAATACGGTAGTATTTATAATAGTTCCCTGAGGTTACTGTCCAGAATACATGGTTTTCCGAATTAACAAGGTTAAGATTAAGGAGGATTTATTTATAATTTGTTACCGAATACATAAGCAAAAACAAAATGTGAAAGTAATTACGTAGACAATTCGATTTGGTCCACAACACATTATTCCAGATAATCATCATTAATTCTCCTAAAATTCAAGCACCAGGCAGGGTAACAAGAAGTACCATCTATTAATGCATTTTGGTATGACAGAGCTGGGGATGAAACACCGAGCATCCACGCTCTGATAAGCTCTATCCACGACACAATGGAGGCAGTTCATCCCTCTCAGAAGGAGATTATATGATGCTTCATGTGGTAAGGTGAGACAAAGGCGAAAATATAGAATGAGGGGTTAGGAAATATTATTTGACTTGACCAAATCCAATAATTGTGAAGTGGAATCCGATTCCTGATGTGATCACAGCCTTAAACAATGAGGAAAAGTAAACTATAAATGCAATAAATTGTGGAGAAAATTTTGATTTTTAGATGTGGTATTCTAGGTCTACACCACTCATCACCACTCGCCTCTTTCCGCAACCTGCAAGAAGATTCGTCCCCCTATCAATGAATGTTATGTGTGAAAATACGACAAACCAATCAGAATGCTCATATGACTTTAAGTACTTCAGTCAAAGAATCCCTCAGGAATATTTTTTGATTTTACACATGTCTTGCAACTAATAATATATCCATGATACAGGTGAATGTTTTCAGTCTTACTGTATAATAATGTAAGTCCTGATGTGTTATAAATAGCACCTGGATTATATATGTTTATGGGGAAAATATATGGGAGTCATTACGCAACGAGTTGACAATTCTTTTAGCTATGCCCGTTGTGCTTAGACGGAACCCAGTCACAAAAATGGCCACGAAATAGGTACGAGTGGCTACGTCCTGAAAACACGAGTTGGTCACGAATGGGCCAACACATGAGCGACATACACACTAATGCAAGCACTCACCTGAAATTCACATAAAAAATACCACAAGAATTAACTGAACGCATTGATATACTTCATCGTCTTACAAATATATAGACGATTTTTATATATTACTCAACACATTGACATACAAATATATAGAAGAATTTCCTATATTCCTCAACACATTGATATACTTCATCTTACAAATATGTAGAAGAATTTCCTATATTGAACACATTGATATACTTCATCTTACAAATACATAAAGAGTTTTGTATATTCCTCAACACATTGATATACTTCATCTTGCAAATTTATAGAAGAATTTCCTATATTCCTCAACACATTGATATACTTCATCTTACAAATATATAGACGATTTTTATATATTACTTAACACATTGATATACAAATATATAGAAGAATTTCCTATATTCCTCAACACATTGATATACTTCATCTTACAAATATGTAGAAGAATTTCCTATATTGAACACATTGATATACTTCATCTTACAAATACATAAAGAGTTTCCTATATTCCTCAACACATTGATATACTTCATCTTGCAAATATATCGATGATTTTCATATATTCCTCAACACATTGATATACTTCATCTTACAAATATACAAACGATTTTTATATATTACTCAACAAATTGATATACAAATATATAGAAGAATTTCCTATATTCCTCAACACATTGATATACTTCTTCTTACAAATATGTAGAAGAATTTCCTATATTGAACACATTGATATACTTCATCTTACAAATACATAAAGAGTTTCCTATATTCCTCAACACATTGATATACTTCATCTTGCAAATATATCAACGATTTTCCTGTATTACTCAACACATTGATATACTTCATCTTACACATACATAAAGAGTTTCCTATAATCCTCAACACATTGATATACTTCATCTCACAAATATATAGACGATTTTCCTGTATTACTCAACACATTGATATACTTCATCTTACAAATACATAAAGATTTTCCTTATTCCCGCTTAACATAACCATACTCTCTCTCAATTTGCGACATTCAACATTAGGAACCTCACGCTGCGCGTTCGGGTTCAAATTCAATTTAGCGCGGTTCAATCTACAGGTAACCTAGCTCTACAGCATGTTTATCTCCTAATTAAAATGTTATATGCTATCAATTATATTTGTGACTGATTTCCCAATATACCTCCATTGTAAAGTGGGAATTTGGCTAGGTAAATGATGTGTCCAATACAATACATTTCCCAATAACCATTTTTTTCAATTTTAAAGTAATATTTAATCATATACCTTCTTAAAATCTCCTATTTATTCAAATAAATACTCTAAACTGGACATCCTAAAATGTTTGTAACCTGGGTGTACTGTTTGTCAAGCAGTTTGTCATACCTTGGGACTATTTAGCAAACAACTAGTCACTATTTGGACTCGATGTCACACGGAATATCTACTGGGACAAGCATGGGTCTAGCAGACAGTAATTATTTGAGACTAAATGTCACACGAAATATCTACTGGGACAAGCATGGGACAAGCAGACAGTAATTATTTGAGACTAATTGTCACACGAAATATCGACTGGGACAAGCATGGGTCTAGCAGACCGTAATTATTTGAGACTAAATGTCACACGAAATATCGACTGGGACAAGCATGGGTCTAGCAGACAGTAATTATTTGAGACTAAATGTCACACAAAATATCTACTGGGACAAGCATGGGACAAGCAGACAGTAATTATTTGAGACTAATTGTCACACGAAATATCGACTGGGACAAGCATGGGTCTAGCAGACCGTACTTATTTGAGACTAAATGTCACACGAAATATCGACTGGGACAAGCATGGGTCTAGCAGACCGTAATTATTTGAGACTAAATGTCACACGGAATATCAACTGGGACAAGCATGGGTCTAGCAGACCGTAATTATTTGAGACTAAATGTCAATCTAGTGGGACCAGAACAAGACTAGCAAAGAAAGTCATAATTTGAGTCTTGGTGTCATGTGGGATATCTAGTGGGACCAGAACAAGCCTAGCAGACAGTCATTATTTGTGTCTTGATGTCATGTGGGATATCTAGTGGGGCTAGAACAAGTCTAGCAGACAGTTATAATTTGAGTCTTGATGTCATGTGGGATATCTAGTGGGACCAGAACAAGTCTAGCAGACAGTCATAATTTGAGTCTTGGTGTCATGTGGGATATCTAGTGGGACTAGAACAAGTCTAGCAGACAGTCATAATTTGAGTCTGGATGTCATGTGGGATATCTAGTGGGACTAGAACAAGTCTAGCAGACAGTTATAATTTGAGTCTTGATGTCATGTGGGATATCTAGTGGGACTAGAACAAGTCTAGCAGACAGTCATAATGTGAGTCTTGATGTCATTTGGGATATCTAGTGGGGCTAGAACAAGTCTAGCAGACAGTCATAATGTGAGTCTCGGTGTCATGTGGGATATCTAGTGGGGCTAGAACAAGTCTAGCAGACAGTCATAATTTGAGTCTCGGTGTCATGTGGGATATCTAGTGGGACTAGAACAAGTCTAGCAGACAGTTATAATTTGAGTCTTGATGTCATGTGGGATATCTAGTGGGGCTAGAACAAGTCTAGCAGACAGTCATAATTTGAGTCTGGATGTCATGTGGGCAGTCTAGTTGGGCCAGAACAAGTCTAGCAGACAGTCATAATGTGAGTCTTGATGTCATGTGGGATATCTAGTGGGACTAGAACAAGTCTAGCAGACAGTCATAATTTGAGTCTTGGTGTCATGTGGGATATCTAGTGGGGCTAGAACAAGTCTAGCAGACAGTTATAATTTGAGTCTGGATGTCATGTGGGATATCTAGTGGGACCAGAACAAGTCTAGCAGACAGTCATAATTTGAGTCTGGATGTCATGTGGGATATCTAGTGGGGCTAGAACAAGTCTAGCAGACAGTCATAATTTGAGTCTGGATGTCATGTGGGATATCTAGTCGGGCTAGAACAAGTCTAGCAGACAGTCATAATTTGAGTCTGGATGTCATGTGGGATATCTAGTGGGGCTAGAACAAGTCTAGCAGACAGTCATAATTTGAGTCTTGATGTCATGTGGGATATAAAGTTGGGCTAGAACGAGTCTAGCAGACAGCTGAAGCTTGTGCTCTTCATTGGGTCTCCTTCTCAATCTTCTTTCTCTGCTTCCTGAGGTAGTTCCAGATGTACATGGGGTGACCGAACGTTGCCACCATCATTGTGATGAACAGGACGTCAACCTGCAGTAGAGGTCATCAATGAGAGGGGGGATAATAAAAGCCCTGCTGTTGCAGTAACACAACATTTATGATTTTCTATTTGTAAAATTAATGCTTCATGACCAAGTTCATTCTTCAACTTCTTCCGGGTATACTCGAGGAGATAACGATAGTATCGGTCATTTTGGTATAGATGATCATCCAGGGGAGATGGCAAAACAATATGTATCCAGCTGAATGATGTTTTAAGCCTTTCTATACCATGTCCTACAGTAACTGTAGAGTGAGTGAGTTTGGTTTTACGCCGCTTTTAACAATATTCCAGCAATATCACGGCGGGGGACACCAGAAGCTTCACACATTGTACCCATGTCGGGAATCGAACCCGGGTCTTCGGCATGACGATCGAACGCTTTAACCACTAGGCTACCCGACTGCCCCTGTAACTGTAGAAAAGATGCACCTGTAAGTCATTCACTATAGATGCTCTCACCATAAGTTTTTTTGTCTTTTGTTCAACGCCACACTCAACATTATTCCAGCTATATGATGTCGCTTTGTAAATAAATGAAGCAGGACCAGACATCATGATTGACATCATGAGCAACGATCTACGCAATCGGGATACATTGACATGCATCAACCCAGTCGGGGAGGCTGACCACCTGATCCCATTAGTCGACAAGCATGGGTTGCTGAAGACCAATTCTAACTCGGATATTCACAGGGGACAAGCATGGGTTGCTGAAGACAAGTGGGTTGCTGAAGACCAATTCTAACCCAAATCTTCACGGGGGACAAGCATGGGTTGCTGAAGACCAAATTTAACCCGGATCTTCACAGGGCGCAAGCATGGGTTGCTGAAGACCAATTCTAACCAGGATCTTCACGGAGAAGAAGCATGGGTAGCTGAAGACCAAATCTAACCCTGATCTTCACAAAGGGACTTACCACCAGTGGGTTGTTCTCTAATGGACCCTGTATGAGGAGAAACAGTGGGTACTGGAGCATCCCGAATACAGCCGACACAGTCAGTATCACCCCGGTCACCTTACCAAAGTGCTCTATAGGATACCTGGAGCACACAAAAGTAGAAATGGCAATTCAATGAAAAGGCAGTTTGGACAGAGAGAAACTGAATCATATGCATCATGACTAAAAACATTTTGCACATATTCAGGAACAATTAAGACAGTATATGGGTGCAATCTCATTAAAATCAGATCTGAGTTCTCGCTATCGCTAAACAAAGATCTGAGGACATCCTATTAAGGGTCACGTCAAAACGACCTTTCATCCAACCAATCAGAGCGTCGCTTACCAGATCATGAAAGTGACTGTCGGAATGTGTTTTCTAATCATGCAACCACGAAACATTTAACACGGGGTATTCCGAACGACAGTTACAGGTTTTATGATTATATCCATACAATCTAGGCCATCTGTAAGCCATTCTAGAATGTTCTTCTTATCAGTTTTAATTTTTTTTTTAATCGAGAATACGTCAAAATATGTTTCGAAGTGTATTCGCCAGTGTGAAACTAGTGTCGTAAAGCACGAGAAAGCTGCCTTCTGATTGGCTAATGTCGATTTCTTGTCAGTCATTTCATTGGTCGGTCAAAATTTGCGAAAGGTCGTTCTGACGTGACCCGTAATGGGATGTCCTCAGATCTTTGTTTAGCGGTAGCGAAAACTAAGATCTGATTTTAATGAGATTGTATATGGGAATGGCATTTGTAGCTGCTACCGTTTAACTGACTAACACACTTACTCAGCTACAATTTGTTCCTGTGGATTTGTTCTACATGGGAAGGGACCGCCTCCGTGGTCTAGTGGTAGAGCGTCCGCACGGAGAGCGGAAGGTTTGGGGTTCGATCCCCGGCCGTGTCATACCAAAAGACGTTCAAAGATGGTACTTGTTGTTACCCTGTCTGGCGCTTGGCATTAAGGGGCTAAAACAAGTACTGGTTGGCTCAGAGTCAGTATACTGTGTCTGAGTGGGGTATTCATGTTAAACTGCGGTATGGTATCTCAGTGTGCTAGCACTATAAATCGGCATCAGTCCGGACTAGATGATTTTTTAATTTGTTTTATCATAATCCCATGCCTCTCTGAAGAACAGACAGAGACAGACAGACAGATTTACTTCGTATGTGTGGCCATGAGGCTAATAGTGCAATGACATTTTGTTGTAGGAAAATTTGTCGTGGAGCACAACTTGTATATTGTAGCTGAAAAGATGTACACAGTTTTATCTATTCAATGTATCGTCCTTCTTTCAAATATCTGCAAGTCTGCAAAAACTGCAAATGTCTCAGAAGAATGTGGCTATTTTTGCTGTTCATTAACTGTACAAATTTTCTTTGTGATGGATACGTATAATAATAGTTAGGCAGGTATTTGATTCTTATATCTTCATATACTGGACATATCAATAAAACATGGTATTCATCTTCTTGGATATATATGTAGTAAGGACACATCGATGTTAAAACATCATTATATTTGGAATGTCTGTGTAGCTGTATATTGAGGGTATGTATACCATACCTGAACTTCGTTAAACATCTGCATAAAGATAAAGATTGAATAGTTGTTAAATACATTTCTGGTATTATTTCCATCTTAAACATGGAATAGGCATGTAGCCATCTTGAACATCTGATATCAGCTGACCAGCCTTGACAATACATATCTTTGTTTAAACATTGTTAAGAGCATAATTTTATTTTTTATTTTATATCCTGGGATATCCACGCGTATGCAAATCCATGCGAGAACTGAATTTCTCTACCAGCTGAGGCCCAGTTTATATCCCCAGAGTCATCAAGGTGCTTAAGCATGTTGGTTGGTTTGTTGTTTAACGCCGCACTCAGCAATATTCCAGCTATATGACGGCGGTCTGTAAATAATCGAGTCTGGACCAGACAATCCAGTGATTAATATCATGCACATCGATCCACGCAATTGGGATCGATGACATGCATCAACCAAGTCAGCAGGCCTGACCACCCGATCCCGTTAGTCGCCTTTTACGACAAGCATAGTCACCTTTTACGGCATGCATGGATTGCTGAAGACCTATTCTACCCCGGAATCTTCACGGGTCCGCTTAAGCATGTAATAGCATAGTCTAGAGTATCGTGTATCTGGTTGTCTGAGCAAACGTATCCAGTATGGGATAACTCAACATTGATAGTTCACATATATCGGGTGCCTTCTCCATTCTGCTAAAATTGCCATATTTGGTGACCAGTAGCAGACGCCAAGAACAAATTTACAAAACTTTGTATGAATTTTCTCAATACTGTGGTGATATGAGGTTCCCCAAACGTCGAAGCCGTACATAAGTATTGGCTGTATTCTACCATCGAATGGTCTATCCCTTTTCAAAACATGAAACAATTTACAGTTGCCTTCTTGTATACCATGGTATACTTACGCATTAGCTATAAAGGCGAAGTTTGGTCCGTAGATGAAGGAGCGACAGATGCTGTGGAGGATGCAGGACACATACTGGAGGGGGAGGACTGGGATCGCCACTATGATGGAGAACACCAGGGACAGACCGGAACACATCAGAATTGAGGCCACCGAGGCGTGTAGACGCTCTGGGGGGACAAACAGAAGAGTGAACAACTGTTAAAATTGTTTTTCTTGTGTCTGTCTCTTATGCATCCTTGTCATTGAAATGCAAGCATTTTGATATACATGGCTGCATTATTTGCCCCTTCATATACAACATCATTACTTTCTTCAGGAGCCCCCAGGGATTCATCAGGACAAATAATAACTTTTTTCATCTTTAATGTCGAGATTACTTTGTGGTGAAGAAATTACCCCTTGAAAACAGGATACAAGTCTGTACATTTCTTCTGCTTCTAGTTACAATCACAATGGGCTCTGACCTCAAGAACGTATTTCCTCTCGCAAACGTTATCCCAAAACTATCTAACCCCCTATATCACACAATTACATCACAATAAAATAAGAATATACATATTTGTTTGTTTGTTTCTAAATTGTTTAACACTGTACTCAACAATATTCCAGCTATATGACAGCAGTCTGTAAATAATTAAATCTGGACCAGACAATCCAGTAATTGATATCATGAGCATCGAACGCGATTGGGATACGATGACATACATCAACCGAGTCAGTGAGCCTGACCACCCAATCCCGTTCGTCGCCTCTTATGACAAGCACAGTCACTTTTTACGACAAGCATGGGTTGCTGAAGAACTATTCTATCCCGGATCTTCCTGGGTCGGAATACAGTGATACACACAATACAGAATGTATGGAATTCAAGTATGCACACAAACCTTGCGCTTCAAATGAAACCTGAAATAATAGCATGTGGAATGCAATGCAGGATAACTCAGTGACCATGCACTGGGTATGGGGGTCTCAAATTGAGTAGGGCCAGTTTCACAAAGAGATCTAACAACTCTTCAGGAGCCCCCAAGGACTCATCAGGACAAATAATAACCTTTTTTATCTTTATGTCCAGATTTCTTTGTGGTGAAGAAATCACGAACCCTGCACTTCAAACAAAACCTGAAGTAATAGTATGTGGACAAGCTCCTCACAGCGATAGTACGTTCCCAGAGCTCTCTATACTATCGCTGCCACCAGTCAAAACTCCCCACTGTGAATAGGTGGCCACAACCATGCTTGGAGTTGAACTCGCAACCGAAATGATGGTTATGTTTACAAACAAGTGACGACTGTCGTGACGCCGAATACACTTATCGCTGCTAAATTACTTTCTTCGTTTGTCAAATTGAATTTCTGTTTCATTAAAACTATCGTATTATTGATGTAGTAAGAATGTAAGGGAGAAGTTGGTTGATTTTCCGTTAGTCTGCAATCTCGAACCAATCTGATTATCAAAACAACAAAGTAAATTCATCTGGAAAACATGGTCAGTCGTAAACCTTTTCAAATTGAAATATGATGGCATTCCCAAAGACATAAACAAAAGTATAAACGTTACTACATATGGGGTTGGAGGGCAAATTTCAAGATTCTTGTAATGGCCGTGCCCACACTGGTGGCAGCGATGTTACCGAGAGTGTAACGAAGGTGTCACTCGCTGGGAAGGAGCTTGGTATGTGGAATGCAATGGGGGATAACTCAGTGACCATATAACATGCAGACCACTAGAAAATATGGCAATAAATATTTCTGCGGTGGGTATGGGGTCCCAGATTGAGTGGCAGAGGAACGTAGGGCCGGTTTCACAAAGAGATCTAACACAACCATGATCATAACTCCCGGTCACTAATACAGATTTATAACACTCTTAGCCTCTCTTGGTGGCAGAGGACCCAGGTGAAGCGGCAGAAAATCTGGATGCTGTTGTACACAGCGATTGTACACTAAGGTGATCGTAACTCCCATACCTTAACATAGACTTACAACAGTCGTAGTGCTATGGTTGTTTTGTACAAGGGCACCCAGGTCATAGATTAAACTTAGCACTACAACTATTGGAGTGAGTGAGTATTGTTTTGGACCACTTTTTGCAATATTCCAGCAATATTATGGCGGTGGACACCAAAAATGGGCTTCACATATTGTACCCGTATTGCAATATGTCTCCTACCACTGATGCAACTCATGAGCATCGATCCACGCATTTGGGATCGATGACATGCTTCAGCCAAGTCTGCAAGCCTGACCATCCGATCCCGTTAGTCACCTCTTACAACAAGCATAGTCGCCTTTACGGCAAGCAGGGGTCAAGGTGTGATCCAGAATCGAACTCAGATCCTCGACGTGACAAGTGAACACTTTAATCACAAATCTACCCAACCACCCCTACAACTATTGGAAGTTAAATGAATGAGTTGCATCAGTGATAGGAGACATATTGATCTGACCCGTGAAGATCCGGGTCTTCAGCAACCCATGCTTGCCGTAAAAGGCGACTATGCTTGTTGGAAGAGGCGACTTACGGGATCGGGTGATCAAGCTTGCTGACTTGGTTGAAGCATGTCATCGATCCCAAATGCGTGGATCAATGCTCATGATATGGATTGTCTGGTCCAAACTCAATTATTTACAGACCGCTGTCATATAGCTGTAATATTGCTGAGTGCGGCGTTAAACAAACAAACAAACATATTGCTCTGTGGAATGGGCCCTGGCTTGGACTATCTTACCAAGTACTTACCCAGTCTGATGTTGTGGTAGACCTTGGCAGCTGGGATCCGTCTGTCCATCAGCCGACCGCTCATTGGGCTGGTAAAGATGCCGATGAATTGCACCATGGCAAAAAATGATGTGTAATGGCTCACTGAAATTAAAGTCAAAATGTTACACCCGATGCTACATGAGACATTTGACAGTAAATAAATTTCCTCATCATAAACAAGAAACATTCAAATGACAAGGCAAAATGTGAGGAGGGCTCACTAACACCCCTGATGCTATTGATGTCAGTCACTGGATTGTCTGGTCCAGACTCGATTATTTACAGACCTCGATTATATAGCTGGAATATTGCTGAGTGTGGCGTTTAACAACAAACAAATAAACAAATCTAGTTTGTCACCTATTATGACAAGCAATTGGGACACATTCTACCCCCCGGGTCCCCAATGGGTGACCTCTTACCATAATAACAGGTTCCACAGCCTTTCTCTACATGCCAGTTTCGTCATCGGTGACATTAAACATGCTACCAAGAACACTCTACCCTGGGTCCCCAAGGTGTGACCTCCTTCAAGAAGTAGGAACCCCCACCTACCGACAGCCTTATCTCCACATGCCAGTCTTGTCATCCAGACATTAAACACTCTACCCTGGGTCCCTAAGGTGTGACCTCCTTCAAGAAGTAGGAACCCCCACCTACCGACAGCCTTATCTCCACATGCCAGTCTCGTCATCCAGACATTAAACACTCTACCCTGGGTCCCCAAGGTGTGACTCCTCCAAGAAGTAGGAACCCCCACCTACCGACAGCCTTATCTCCACATGCCAGTCTCGTCATCCAGACATTAAACACTCTACCCTGGGTCCTCAAGGTGTGACTCCTCCAAGAAGTAGGAACCCCCACCTACCGACAGCCTTATCTCCACATGCCAGTCTCGTCATCCAGACATTAAACACTCTACCCTGGGTCCCCAATCTGTGACTCCTCCAAGAAGTAGGAACCCCCACCTACCGACAGCCTTATCTCCACATGCCAGTCTCGTCATCCAGACATTAAACACTCTACCCTGGGTCCCCAAGGTGTGACTCCTCCAAGAAGTAGGAACCCCCACCTACCGACAGCCTTATCTCCACATGCCAGTCTCGTCATCCAGACATTAAACACTCTACCCTGGGTCCTCAAGGTGTGACCTCCTTCAAGAAGTAGGAACCCCCACCTACCGACAGCCTTATCTCCACATGCCAGTCTCGTCATCCAGACATTAAACACTCTACCCTGGGTCCTCAAGGTGTGACATCCTTCAAGAAGTAGGAACCCCCACCTACCGACAGCCTTATCTCCACATGCCAGTCTCGTCATCCAGACATTAAACACTCTACCCTGGGTCCCCAATCTGTGACTCCTCCAAGAAGTAGGAACCCCCACCTACCGACAGCCTTATCTCCACATGCCAGTCTCGTCATCCAGACATTAAACACTCTACCCTGGGTCCTCAAGGTGTGACCTCCTTCAAGAAGTAGGAACCCCCACCTACCGACAGCCTTATCTCCACATGCCAGTCTCGTCATCCAGACATTAAACACTCTACCCTGGGTCCCCAATCTGTGACTCCTCCAAGAAGTAGGAACCCCCACCTACCGACAGCCTTATCTCCACATGCCAGTCTCGTCATTCAGACATTAAACACTCTACCCTGGGTCCCCAAGGTGTGACTCCTCCAAGAAGTAGGAACCCCCACCTACCGACAGCCTTATCTCCACATGCCAGTCTCGTCATCCAAACATTAAACACTCTACCCTGGGTCCCCAAGGTGTGACTCCTCCAAGAAGTAGGAACCCCCACCTACCGACAGCCTTATCTCCACATGCCAGTCTCGTCATCCAGACATTAAACACTCTACCCTGGGTCCCTAAGGTGTGACCTCCTTCAAGAAGTAGGAACCCCCACCTACCGACAGCCTTATTTCCACATGCCAGTCTCGTTATCCAGACATTGAACATGCCCACGAAGAACCAGCTCCGCAGCCTCTGGAAACACATCCACATCAAGTTACACATAAACAGTGGGGTTTTCATCACCTCCAACATAGTCGGAGTTCTTGTTCTTTCTGCCACAGGGGCAGTTAAACCATTAATGTTGTTCTCACTGTCTATAAGCTTCTCATCGTTCAAAAACTCTTTGTTTTCACTTGTGGAACTCATTTCAGGGTTTTTAACAATCATAGTGCTTCCATTGTCATTTGACCTCCAAATCACGTTGGCATCGTTGTCATGGTGACTATCTTTCTTATTCCTCAAGTACTCGCTCAGAGTAAAGCGGAATTTATAATTTGGAGGTAGCGGCCAAGGGAAGTGGCTCTTCCTGTGGACTACAGCAGTGCTGATGAGGACCATGACGAACAGACAGACTTGAAAGATGAAACAGTAGTTGATCTTTATTCCATGTTCATGCGCCACCTGAAATAGAAATAAAGGATAGAATACATGTATGTTTTATATTTCAAGTGTGCTACAGGTCACTTGAGGGGGCACGGGTGGCCCAGTCATCTAAGCCACCGTGATTCGCTGTGCAGAGTTATGTCCCTTGGGCACACCACACACCTATGACTATGGGTTTGAATCCCGGTTCGCCCAGATTATGTTTCTAGGTTTGTCAGCACCAAATTTGTGCTCGTTGGTTTCACCGAAGGCTATGGAACGATCAAAACAAAAACACTTAAATATCATTAAGTTATATCAGTGAGAATGCTCAACATGAAATATTCAACAGTAACTTGAATTCATCACCTTGGCAAAGAAATTCCAGCTGCTACAACCAATACACTGTTTTTGTGACTTTCACTTTGGACAACAAAATTTCAAGAAGTCAAAACAGTATTGCATCAATTCAAAATATAACAACATTCTTCAAATAATATTTCCACGATATCTACCTGGCAATGTTCCAATGCAAACATGCCCGCTGTCACTGATCAGATATCCAAATAAGGTCGCGTTAGGTCACTTTCAGATGAAGAATAAAATTGTATTTATTCAAGTCCATTACTCTGATAATCACTGACAAGATCATTGAGTATTCAGAATATTTCTTTGTGTGGACACAGAGCTTAGACATAAGTTCTGTATTTTGTGTATGTTTAATCACATTATTTAGAGAACTATTTACTCATCAGCCTTATAAAAAATTATCAGCGAGAGGGTATATTGTTCATAAGAGTTGACTTTTCACATGTGGATGGATACAAGGGTGTGGGATCATTTCTCTCATTGCTGATGAAAACTGACACCTCAAAAGTAATGACCACATAGAATGTACTTGGGAAATGATAAAAATAACCCACTCGAGCTACAAGAAATTACGGATTGTATGTCCCATAATCTGCAATTCCTTGTAGCTTGTAAGTTGTTCTCTAATTAATCACGGCTACGGCAAGAAGGCACAGTGCAAAGAGTAGATGAATTACTTGGTGACAAAGTTACCTTGAACAGGAGGAAAATTGCAGCGCTGCTGTCGAAGGATCCCGAACACATGCTGATGAGAGTTGAGCGGAGATGCGGAACTAGTCCACCCAGCTGCATGTTGGTCACGAGGATGAAATACCCTGCATAGCACTGGAGGATGTACCCTGGGTACAGCATGATGGGGTTCTCTGTGGGAGAGAGAGGCGAGATGAAATACCCAGCATAGCACTGGAGGATGTACCCTGGGTACAGCATGATGGGGTTCTCTGTAGGAGAGAGAGTCAGGATGAAATACCAAGCATAGCACTGGAGGATATAACCTGGGTACAGCATGATGGGGTTCTCTGTGGGAGAGAGAGTCAGGATGAAATACCCAGCATAGCACTGGAGGATATACCCTGGCTACAGCTAATGGGGTTCTCTGTGGGAGAGAGTCAGGATGAAATACCCTGCATAGCACTGGAGGATGTACCCTGGGTACAGCATGATGGGGTTCTCTGTGGGAGAGAGTCAGGATGAAATACCCTGCATAGCACTGGAGGATGTACCCTGGCTACAGCATGATGGGGTTCTCTGTGGGAGAGAGAGTCAGGATGAAATAGCCAGCATAGCACTGGAGGATATACCCTGGCTACAGCATGATGGGGTTCTCTGTGGGAGAGAGAGGCGAGATGAAATACCCAGCATAGCACTGGAGGATGTACCCTGGGTACAGCATGATGGGGTTCTCTGTGGGAGAGAGTCAGGATGAAATACCCAGCATAGCACTGGAGGATATACCCCTGGTACAGCATGATGGGGTTCTCTGTAGGAGAGAGAGTCAGGATGAAATACCCTGCATAGCACTGGAGGATATACCCCGGGTACAGCATGATGGGGTTCTCTGTGGGAGAGAGAGTCAGGATGAAATACCCTGCATAGCACTGGAGGATATACCCTGGGTACAGCATGATGGGGTTCTCTGTAGGAGAGAGAGTCAGGATGAAATACCCTGCATAGCACTGGAGGATGTACCCCGGGTACAGCATGATGGGGTTCTCTGTGGGAGAGAGAGTCAGGATGAAATACCCTGCATAGCACTGGAGGATATACCCCGGGTACAGCATGATGGGGTTCTCTGTAGGAGAGAGAGTCAGGATGAAATACCCTGCATAGCACTGGAGGATATACCCTGGGTACAGCATGATGGGGTTCTCTGTGGGAGAGAGAGTCAGGATGAAATACCCTGCATAGCACTGGAGGATATACCCTGGGTACAGCTAATGGGGTTCTCTATGGGAGAGAGTCAGGATGAAATACCCAGCATAGCACTGGAGGATATACCCTGGGTACAGCATGATGGGGTTCTCTGTAGGAGAGAGAGTCAGGATGAAATACCAAGCATAGCACTGGAGGATATACCCCAGGTACAGCATGATGGGGTTCTCTGTTGGAGAGAGAGTCGGGATGAAATACCCTCTATAGCACTGGAGGATGTACCCTGGGTACAGCATGATGGGGTTCTCTGTTGGAGAGAGAGTCAGGATGAAATACCAAGCATAGCACTGGAGGATGTACCCTGGGTACAGCATGATGGGGTTCTCTGTGGGAGAGAGTCAGGATGAAATACCCTGCATAGCACTGGAGGATATACCCTGGTACAGCATGATGGGGTTCTCTGTGGGAGAGAGTCAGGATGAAATACCAAGCATAGCACTGGAGGATGTACCCTGGGTACAGCTAATGGAGTTCTCTATGGGAGAGAGAGTCAGGATGAAATACCCTGCATAGCACTGGAGGATATACCCTAGGTACAGCTAATGGGGTTCTCTGTGGGAGAGAGAGTCAGGATCAAATACCCTGCATAGCACTGGAGGATATACCCTGGGTACAGCATGATGGGGTTCTCTATGGGAGAGAGTCAGGATGAAATACCCTGCATAGCACTGGAGGATATACCCCGGGTACAGCATGATGGGGTTCTCTGTGGGAGAGAGAGTCAGGATGAAATACCCTGCATAGCACTGGAGGATATACCCTGGGTACAGCATGATGGGGTTCTCTGTGGGAGAGAGAGTCAGGATGAAATACCCTGCATAGCACTGGAGGATATACCCTGGGTACAGCTAATGGGGTTCTCTATGGGAGAGAGTCAGGATGAAATACCCTGCATAGCACTGGAGGATATACCCTGGGTACAGCTAATGGGGTTCTCTGTGGGAGAGAGAGTCAGGATGAAATACCCTGCATAGCACTGGAGGATTTACCCTGGGTACAGCATGATGGGGTTCTCTGTGGGAGAGAGAGTCAGGATGAAATACCCTGCATAGCACTGGAGGATTTACCCTGGGTACAGCATGATGGGGTTCTCTGTGGGAGGGAAAGTCGGGATGAAATACCCAGCATAGCACTGGTTGATGTATCCTCAGTCCTCCTTTTAGTGACCAAATAGGTCGAATATGCATATGAATTATTTTCATGACGACTTAGTATACATTAAGTCACACTGTGGTCACAGTGGTGACCATCTTCCCGAGGCAAGAGAGTTTACTGACTTTAAAAGTCCAGTTTCCACCCTTGCCGAACTAGGCTGGAATTACTTGGCTCGGTCGTAGCGCCACCAGTGGCTATTACCAGCTATGTCCCTTCTAAGCCTCTCCTATGGACCAATCAGATTCCACCTCTCGTATCACTTGCGTTTGCTTCACACAAAATGGTGGCGCCCGGTCAGGACGATCTGATCGATAATCAATATCTATATTGCGATAAAACGTGTCTTACATCGCGAAATGCATCAAATCACAAGAGCACCTTGTTTAAAAACATGAAAAAATTTGGAAAATATTTGCTGACAACGAGTTGGTGGTGCACATGCTTTGCAAATTCTGCAATCGATCGAAATCTGAACGACAGTTAACAAACCGGATTTCGAGTTCGGTGCGCGATTTTGATTGGACTATGCATAGACTCGTTAGTCCAGCCAAAATGTAACTCCATAATACCAGCCTAGTTCGGCAATGGTGGAAACTGGACTTTTATAGTCAGTTAACTCTCTTGCCTCTGGAAGATGAGTGGTGACCGTCACACATGCAATTAAAATCATTTCTCAAAAGTTCTCGAGTGGAACCAAAATACGACTCTTTTCGTATACAATATCGTCTAGAACTATTCCAAATAATCTCTCAATATTAATGTTGTGCAGCATGATCGTAACTTGACAAAAACCCAATTTTATATTCTGTATAACATTTGGTAATTGGCTAAATACTACCAATAAAAAAGAAAAAAGCATGAGCATAACACCACTCCATACATGGAATAGGCTTTGCTATTTCCCTATACTATTGACATGTGGAGCATGAAGTAGGTCTGGTGTCAGAGGTACAAAAAAATGGTGACAAATAAATTTTCAATATTTCGTGTATCATTATGCGCTGGTAAACGAACGTGTTCTGATGGGCCTGGAGAGACAGGCGTGTGTAGATTGCTGCCCCCATCAATGCATATCTCATTATAGTACAATCACAGCAATATTTTGAGACCACCCCAACTCATGTGCACCTGTGAGAATGCATGGGACGGTGTCTCATCATCACCTCAGGACACGTGTTAGGTAATTAGCTCTGGCTACAGGCCGTTTCATACATGCAAGTCAACACACAAATATTTAGTTTGTCATCATTGTACTTGTAAAAGTACCTCTTAGGCATATCACAGTGTCAGTTAGGATAGGATAGATTAGGTACATTTGCGTTATTTTGATATATGCTATTTTCATAGCCTTATGATCTTGCATTTATTGAAGCAAGTAGCATTTTTCCAGCATTTCCGACAGCACTTTAGGACTTCTTTGGGATACAAAGCATGAGTGGGTGGTGGGGGTGGGGTGGGACAACTATCCAGACATGAGAAAAGCAAAACTTGTTTTTGGAGGAGGAACTTGTCAATGTAGGGGGGGGAAGAAGAACATTTTAAAAATAAGGGTTAAAATAAGAGCTATTTACATCATTCTGAGAGGAAAAATCCTGGAATTCCGTGAATCCAAGGAAAATTATCATGTCTGCATATTGAATACATGGAGGTTAGAAGAAGGTGAGAGTGAGATCCATCCATGTGGCTAATACTGAATAAGTCGTCATCATCATCATCATCATCATCATCATCATTTTTAGTTCATCTCATCATCATCATCATCATCATCATCATCATCATCATTTTTAGTTCAACTCACCTGGAGATGCTAGAACCTGGCACACAAACCCTATGATGTAGCATGAACTGGAAAAGTAAAAAGGATTGTTTGAAACAAACCGAATACTGAACAAACTTAAGAGAAAAACGATGTTTCATTCAATATAATCTAAACTTGAAATACATAATGAATATTTGATGTGGTTGGAAACCATGCCACTTGTCTCACTGAGTAGCAAGGTCATCGTCAATACTGCACAAGCTTGTGCACACACTACATTCCTCCATCCATAATGAACACTTTGAGTGGAGTGACAAAATTGATATTGTCCTGAGTGACACAAGTCACACGATGGTATAAAAAAATGTTTTTACAAGAAAAAAAAAATGTTGTATTTATTGTGTATTTTTTTAATGATCTACATAATATTTACTCTGAAAACAATATTGTTATCACTAATATCAGAAAGTATTACTTATTACGTTTCATGCTGCAAAGTTAAGGTGTGTGTGTGTGTGTGTCTGTGTGTCTGTGTGTCTGTGTGTGTGTGTGTGTGTGTCTGTCTGTCTGTCTGTCTGTCTGTCTGTCTGTGTCTGTGTTCTTATTCATAAATTATCTTTACTTTTTCACCCGTCAACTTCTAAGTAATGCCTGTCAAACAATAATAGGACTATAGATAATTGCTATCCCTGTGATGTTAAGGAATAATAACTCTCACTCAGTAAAATGTAAATAAGTGATTCCTTCGTTATGACTAACCGTTATGTTCATATTTTAGAAAAGAAAGGTCATGACACTGTCAATGTTTACCTCCCAACATCGTCAGTACATCATAGGTTTGTTGTATACACAGCATTTCACCATTAAATGTATACGACCAATATCTGGGGTCGTGCTTATGCATGTTTTAGTCAGCAATGACATGTGTTAGTATACAAATGACTCAAGTCACATCATCCCTACTCCATGTTTGACACATTTGTGAATACTACCGCTGATTGACATTGAGGAATGTGTAGAAGTGATTGTTTAAAGAAAAGAACATAGATATTTCTTTTCAGTCATGGGAATGCTTACATAACAGTTTTTTTAGAGTGAGTATTGTTTTACGGCGCTTTTAACAATATTCCAGCAATATCACAGCAGGGGATACAAGAATTGTCTTCACACATTGTACCCATGTGGGGAATTAAACCCAGGTCTTTGGTGGGACGAGCGAACGCTTACACCACCAGGTCACCTCACCGCCCCAGTGGTTTAGGGAGGAAAATTAAGAAAATATGCAAGAAAATACATAATAAATAGAACATTTGTCTTTTTATTTTCAAATATTAACCATGTCGTTTCATTTTTTGCTAAGTTGACATTTTCACTCGCTGCTGCATCAATAAAAAAATATCAACTTTGATAAATTTGATGAGTGAAACATGTTGACAAGAAAGGTCAAATAAGGTCTCTAGATTAACCACTGGCAGATACATTGTTTTGGTGCAGGTTAAACACTAACCTTATGTGCCACTTACATCGGTGTTTAGTGTGATGGACTGGACGAGTCCAATTTAGTACCCAGGTACCTGACCCCTATTACCTGTCCCTACTGCAGGTCTCAAGAGTTGGGTACAAAATGTCTGATTGAGAATTGTTTTACCGGAGCCCTGGCAAAGACTATTTAGATACTCATATATCCCTACATCACATATTTTCGAGCCTCACCTCTTTTCGAGCCCCTAAACACAACGTAACCATGTGATTAATACTCATGATAATGTAATCAAGGCAGACGCTTCATAGCCCACTGAAGACATCAAAGTGTTCGCCACTTGTCGCTGAAGTAATGTTACAAATTATGAGACATGAAGTAAGATATAAAACATACCTCAAAACTTACTTTTTCACTCATACACATTTTAATGAAAATTGATCAGAACAATCGTAATCGCCGATGATGTATCTGCTGCTGTTTGTAAACTTCCTGTCTGTAATGTCATGTGACTAACCATGTTGTGCATCTATTTTTAACTTGACTGTAATGGAGATGATTGAGTCATCTCGCTTGGTGAGGCATTATCACTATAAAAGTAACAGGACTAGCACTTAAACCTTGGCCTTTTATTGTTATAGTTATTAAACAATACATCAAATGACTAACCACGGGTCCGGGTACTCCAGTTGGTACCTAGGTCCTTCTCAGGACCCATGCGACCCAAGTACCCGAGTTACCCGACCTAGTCTTAGTGATATGCACACCCTTTTTCAAGGAATCAGCCTCCTGAATCTGCTCTGTTAAAGCTCTCAAAGCTAATGTCGAACCCAAAATTTGCACAAATGTTACGATAATAAAACGTTCCTAGCATGAAACGCAAACCACCTTCAATAACGCAATTCAGGTAAGTTCAAGAAAATTTTCAAATTTTGTGTTCGCTTTGTTCTTAACCTTGGTATGATTGAAAACATCAGGATATTTTTATATAGTAATCTGTAGTATTTTATCAGGTACAAATAAACAAAATATTTGAGAGTGAGTGGGAATGAGTGAGTATGGTTTTACGCAGCTTGTACCAATATTCCAGCAATATCACGGTGGGGGACACCAGAAATGGGCTTCACACATTTTACCCATGTCGGGAATCAAACCCGGGTCTTCGGCGTGACGAGCAAACGCTTAAACCACTAGGCTACCCGACCGCCCCGGCAGGGGTAAGAAGTGTGAAAGCAGTTCAGCAGGCTAAAGGTTAAGCTACTAGTGTAGTTAGTAAAGGAACACCATCTTTCTGTGTCTAAATCAGCTTACATGCAAATATATCTGCAGAATTTAGTTCCAAAGCGGTCATACAGGTATCCATTGACAACACACATGAGTCCGGTGATGAGCGTGGACAGGGAGAAGATGAGGCTGAATTGTTCGTCCTGGGCGGCGCAGGTCTTGCCCTTGCCTGAAGCCGACAGCTTCAGCTGATCGTCACATGACAACTCGGTGGCCGGGGCCTTGGTGGAGGATGCTATAAATATATCGATACATCAACAGCCGAGTCACACAGGAGAGGAAGCAAACATCCGAGCAAGAATGAAAGAAAATATGAAACCATGGAAATAATTTTGTTGTTGATACGTGGTCCTATGCACAGGTCACAAATCATGTGAAGTTAAGCAATGTCAGTCGCGGAGAGTTCTTGGATGGGTGACCGCGTTTCGGCAGCTTGGCTCCTGAGAGTTACTAGGGCTGAAGCACATGTAACACATGTGGTGTCTCCTTGGGCAAGTGACTTTGTTCGAAATGTGCTTGGGTTGTATACTCTCCAGGGAGCTGAGAATGATTGATGAGTGCACACTGATCCAGTGACTAGGGTAATAAAAGTGCTTTGAGTATGCCCCTGTGTGGGGTGGAAATATGCGCAATATAAATGGCCTATTATTAGTAGTAGTATTATTAGTATTAGTAGTAGTATTATTAGTATTATTATTATTATTATTATTATTATTATTATTATTATTATTTATTTATTTATTTTCTGTTTCAGTGATAGTGTTGACTTCATTACATGTATACACTGCCCTCATATAGCCGGAATATTGCTGAGTGCGGCGTTAAACAAAACAAAACAAAATGTTTACTACTCCAAAAAAAATCAAGAACACCCATTTATTTCATATGACTAGAGTTAATCTGTCATGGCTGGTGGGTTGGAAGACACAGCCTTCTAACTGTGGGTGTTCTTTTACTTGTTTTGAGTAGTATATTTTTCCAGCTTATATCTGTGGTGCACAAAACATTTTTGAAATCATCAGGGAGGGAATCCGACTTGGTCAGCCTTAAGACAAGGAAAGATAACTCTACATTAAAGTCTGACAAGACTAACATTCATAGAACTAATATTCACAAGATATTTTTTACCAGACAAAGCCACAAATTATTGATTACCCTGGAAAATAAATGCATGTCAGGTTTTAAATGACAAGAGAAGAGAAAATTGGTCTTTTCTCATCAAACATTTTTATCTTATTGAGTGACCTAATATTTTCATAAGCCATGAGTGAGTGAGTGAGTGAGTATGGTTTTACGCCGCTTTTAGCAATATTCCAGCAATATCACGGCGGGGGACACCAGAAATGGGCTTCACACATTGTACCCATGTCGGGAATCGAACCCGGGTCTTCAGCGTGACGAGCTAACGCTTTAACCACTAGGCTACCCGACCGCCCTTCATAAGCCATGAAGCCATGAGCAAAAATGTCAACAAGATGACATACACATGTTAAAAAAATATGTATTCTTTTTATTATCAATTTATTTTCTTTGCATGATTTTTATGATCATAATCTGTAGACCACAGTGTCATTGAAATAGACTGAAAGTAGTCCAGCATAAAGCATTATTTCACTCGATTTAATATTTTGGGATGAACACAATTTTCTTCACTAAATACATAATAAAAACTGCCCCTGACTGAAGAGGATGAGGCCTCTGTTACCTGTAGCATTGCTCCAGAGACTGTGTGGCGTAGTGGTGGAATTAGCCAAGGCTGTGCGGGGTGTAGCAGCACTGCTGACATAATGTATACCACTGGTGTTGCTGGTAAAATAAGTACTGGAGATGTTGCTGATATGTTGTGTACCAGTGATGTTGCTGACGTCGCAACGGTCCGCGAAGTAGCCTTCATCCTTGTACACATACACCACTGAGTGCCAGCCAAATATCACACCTGAGTAAGACAAGAAAGACAAGAAAGACATGATTTGACATGATATCTGACATGGGTAGTTTGTCATCACATTATCCTGTCAAACTAACTCAAGATTTCTTTCAGCATCATAATTTTTTTTCGGAAGTCACTGTCGAATCTAAGGCTGGTTTGATGAAAGGTGAAGACAAGTCAAGTGAGGTTATTGCATTTAAATAGCAACATGCCTGCATGATTGTGTGGTTGCATGCATGGTTTTGTGCAAGGTTTCATGGTTGTATGCGTGCATGGTTTCGTGTGTTCGTGGTTGAGTGCGTGCATGGTTTCGTGTGTTCGTGGTTGAGTGCGTGCGTAGTTGCGTGCATGTCTGAGTCTCAGCGTGTGGCTGTTTGTTCTAGTCCAGACTAATGCCGATTTTGAAATCGGCCCGACCCTCCATAGAAAAATCATCACCCATCACCCCAAGCCACCTTATGCCTGGGCAAACATAAAAATTCATAAAGACCCCTAGACCTAGTCTGCTCCAGAGACACTGTCCACTACAGTACGGACCAGTACTTAGCCCGCCTCCTCGCACCTCTTGGAAAGATTGTCAAGTCCTTTGTGGCAGATTCGTCTGAATTATGAAAGAAGATCCACAACATCCCCCAACCAGGCACCTTAATCAGCTATGACGTTGTCGACCTGTTTACTTATGTACCCCGGGACGAGGCCACTAATATCATCAGAAACCGCATTGAGGAAATCCACCCATCCCTAGACACTAACAACTGACAGCATCATCCGGCTCATACACTCCTGTATCAGCTCAACATACTTCACTGGAGAGATAGCAGCAAACCCATGGCCTCCCCATGGGATCCCCTCTATCACCCTTGATCACCGAGATATTTATGACCCACCTAGAAGTAAAAGCCCTAGAAACATCCCCTATAACGCCCCTCTGCTTGTTCCACAAAGTAGATGACACCTTTGTTATCCTACATCCCAACAATGACCCCAGAATTCTACTGGACCACCTGAACTCCCAAAACCCACAAATGCAGTTCACCATGGAGGAAGAATCCAATCGTCAACTACCCTTCCTTGATGTACTTGTACAGAACGACCTCAAAAACAAACTCCAGACCACACAGATCAATATCATCACTATGTCTCCAACCATCCACCTCAAGTCAAGAAAGGAATCATCTCAACCCTTACAAGACGAGCTCACCACATCTGTTCTACGAAGCAACATCTTACCACTGAACTTAACCACCTCAAAGTGCTCACACAGTACAACCACTACCCTGAACAGCTAGTACAACAGACAATACAGAACATCATCAAGAAAACTCAGAAATCTCCCCGTCGACAATCACCATTTGTGATCAGCCTCCACTACTTCGGAACAGTCAGCCACAAAATCCAGAGACTATTAAAGGAACAGGCCAACATTGATGTTTTTGTCCTGTTTGTTTGTTTGTGGTTTAACGCCACACTCAGCTATATTCAAGCTATATGACGGTGGTCTGTAAAATAATTCAGTGATTGACATCATGAGCATCAATACACGCGATTGGGATCGATGACATGTATCAACCAGGTCAGCGAGCCTGACCAACCGATCCCATTAGTCACCTTTTACGACAAGCATAGTCGCCTTTTACGGCAAGTATGGGTTGCTGAAGAACTTTTCTAATCCGGAATCTTCACTGGTCCCAACATTGATGTAGATTTCAAGAGAAGTCACAGCATTCAGAATACAATTAAAGCCACAGGAAAACCACCATCTAGCCACAAGCTGGAACCATCAGGAGCAGTGTACAACATTCCGTGCAATTGTGGACAAGCTTATATTGGCGAAACATCTAGGCCCCTCAAAACCCGAAATAAAGAACATCAAAGTTCAGTCACCAAAAATGATGTAAATCAGCTCTATCAGACCATATCCATGACAACCATCAATCAACCAAGGCTACTACATACCACCAGCATACCACTAACTCATCAAAGACCCCAATCAGTCATAATTCTTTTGTTGCTTATATTACTGGCTTCACCCTTTTGTATATATTACAGGCTTCACCGGCCAATATCAAACCTGTCAACCCTTCCTCATTTTGCGGGAGACTCAAGCAATCGCCCAGTCTCCCGCATGATGGACTATTTCACCAGCCAAACAGAATTCTTCATTTTTTCAAAATTCGCCTCCATTGTCCCGTGTGTAAGTGAGTGAGTGAGTATGGTTTTACACCACTTTATAGCAATATTCCAGCAATATCACAGCAGGGGACACCAGAAATGGACTTCACACATTGTACCCATGTCGGGAACAGAACCTGGGTCTTCGGCATGACGAGCGAATGCTTTAACCACTAGGCTACCCAACTGCCCCTCCCGTGAGTAAAAACAAAGAACGAAGCCTGACACTTGGTCGGATTGAACACGTCGTCAACTTGTCAAGCTACCGATTGTTAAATTTCAATATCTGTTTGCGTTTATCTGAGATGATCTTTGAACGAAGGTGATATGGGTAGAATGTGCTAGGTTTATTCTTGGAGGCGAAAATGCAAACGGAAATTAAGCAAGTTGTACGTATAAGAAACTATAATTATTTATTGTTTTAAAATATTTGGTTTTCTTAAGAACATTAATGAAAATAACGGTTGGAAATTATCTTAATTTGACTATTTAAAAAATCTCCCCCTTTGGAGGCAAATCTCCCCCATTTTGAAAAATCTCCCACATTGTCATGATGAGGGGTTGACAAGGCTGCAATATGTTTTACCCTTCTGTGTACGTAACAGCCCTAGAGAAAATTTCTGTGGGATCCCGGTGGGAAATTTGGTCGGGATCCCAATGGCAAATTTTGTTGGGATCCGGCTGGGATCCCAGTGGGAAATTTGGTTGGGATCCCAGTGGGATAATTGGGTGGGAAATTTGGGTGGGATCCCACCAAGGATGCATGGTCTTGCATGGTCAGAATCACATCCCACAGGTAGTCCAAACCTTGTTTGATCTCAACTTGACATGCTTACACAAGTCCATGATGTTTTACACCAATACAATAATCAATGAATCCATATGATATTTATTCCACTGAAATAAAAGTAGAAAATTATCTTATGTTGACTATTCTAAAAATCTCTCCCTTTGGAGGCAAATCTCCCTCATTTTGAAGCCAAATCTCCCACATTGTCATGATGAGGGGTTGACAAGTCTGAATATGTTTTACCCTTCTGTGTACATAACAGGCGTCTCCACTCCAGCAGTGTAACTGTATCTTAAACCTACTCAACTGTGTAAACACTGCCTCCTATCCTGTACATAGACTTGTCAACCATACTCTGTAATGGTGTTGGAACCTACACCGAAACATCGCTCCTAATTGTAATAAAAAAGTTGTTCATCCATATATTTTATCCTTACTTAGTAAATGCCTCACTTCTAAATACCTCTCCTCAGTCATCCTTTTTAAAAATGAATTCTGCTTAAGCTGCTGTTTCAGGAGACTTCTAATTTGCCTCTATCCCTGTTTTGCCCCATTGAATAGCTTCACATGTCACAGAAGCTCACAAAAATACCACGTAGGAAGTTACAATAGGAATCACATATTGCTTTTGTTCATTATTAACATCCATTAGTTTATGTATTTGTGATGTCTGCTTTCAGTCAGTAGATATATAGAAATTTGTCACACACACACACACATGATGAAAAGGCTACATTATGAATTATGCACAACATGTTACACTGGTGGGTTTTGAACTTTTCCTGCCTATTGGTATGCAAGCAGATGAACAGTCATTTATCATTGTGATATATTTAACAAATAAATGATGAGTGGTTGTTGTTCATAGTACAATAAAAGAATTCAGGGAGAATAAACCATGAGGGGCGCGATTCCCTGTAGGGATGTTTAAAAAATGTACAAGCTTTAAAAATGTTTACCCCAATTATAATAATGATGACTGCCTGAATTGAATCCGACCACAATGTCGGACAAGTCCATTTTACAAACAGGCGGGTTAAGTTTGGTATTTCCTGCAAAATCTCACAATCTTCACACTGATAATCTGTGTCCTTTCTCTTAATACCGATTGTCAATCAATCAATCTTTATTTCACGTACTGAAGAGGCCACAGGCCTATAGTACAATTTGAAGAATATACAATTTTATACAATTTATGTACATATCTCACCAAATCACCTCACGTCATTCCACATCACCAGCCTGGGCCAACAGACCCAGGGCTATATGAGCTGTCTACCAGCCATATCTCACCAAATCACCTCACGTCATTCCACATCACATCTCAACACAGTCACATAATTTCACACATACAGTACAATACCATAACAGCTGTATGCCTGCGTGGGAACAACAGACCCAGGGCAATATCAGCTATAGACCTGCCTGGGCCAACAGACCCAGGACAATATCAGCTGGACACCAGCCTGGGCCAACAGACCCAGGGCTATATGAGCTGTCTACCAGTACATATCTCACCAAATCACCTCACGTCATTCCACATCACATCTCAACACAGTCACATAATTTCACACATACAGTACAATACCATACCCTGTAATTTCATAATTTCTATTTTACCATATCACAACTAGTTATATTATACAACATATTCTATAACATCATATCATATTGTATCATTATTATAAGATCATACTATATAGTATTATTTCATATACCATTATCATATCATAACATACCATACATACCATCGTACCATATATCACACCTATATTATACCGATTGTCATATCTCTCCCATATTTGGATGCGATTGTTCGGCCACTGCGTTTATCTCCGTACCCCAGCTAACTCTATGGGGAACCACTCACTGGACACTTCCCTCTCTAAAATATCTTCGTCCAATATATGACATCATCAAGTTGCGAGGACATATTCATATCTCCAGAAATGACGTCATGATAGAACAATGTTTTATCATGAAATAAACCATGCTTCGTTCTTCATTGTTCTTTGCGATTTATCGTGTCGGTGTCTTATATTTGTGCATATTACATAAATATACAGTTATGTGGAGCTCGACAAAGAGCCGACATTGTCCCATCTATTTCTGAAAAGAAAGATGTAAAAACTGTTTGCTCTTTTTTCAAGACAAAAACAAAATTAATGATATATGCCAATCAATTTGTATCAGGTGTGACATTTCATACCCCATCAGACAGACAGACAACAAAATAAATTGCCTGTATGCATAGGTTGTGTCCTCAGTCTGACATAATTAACCAGTACCTATTGTAATCTCACATCATTATAAATCATGCGATTATTTTCTCTTAAACAAATTGTCTTTAGACTTTTGAGTGAGTGAGTGAGTGAGTGAGTGAGTGAGTGAGTGAGTGAGTGAGCGAGCGAGCGAGTGAGGTGTACGGTGCTTTTAGCAATATTCCAGCAATATCATGGCAGGGGGACACCAGAAAATGGGCTTCACACATTGTACCCATATGGGAATCGAACCCAGGCCTTTGACATGACGAGCCAACACTTTAACCACTAGGCTACCCCTACCTCTAGTTACTGAAGAACTCGGCACTCTCAAGCACTCATAAACAAGACTTAGGGTTAAGGAATTAAATTCTAGCTTTATGAGTAGATCACTGCAACATAGGACTATCATTAACAGCTGGACACCAGCCTGGGCCAACAGACCAAGGACAATATTGGCTGTATACCAGTCTGGGTCAACCGATCCAGGGCAATATCAGCTGTCTACCAGCCTGGGCCAACAGACCCAGGGCAATATCAGCTATAGACCTGCCTGGGCCAACAGACCCAGGACAATATCAGCTGTACACCAGTCTGGGCCAACAGACCCAGGACAATATCAGCTGTACACCAGCCTGGGCCAACAGACCCAGGGCAATATCAGCTGTATGCCAGTCTGGGCCAACAGACCCAGAGCAATATCAGCTGTATACCAGCCTGGGCCAACAGACCCAGGGCAATATCAGCTGTATGCCAGTCTGGGCCAACAGACCCAGGACAATATCAGCTGTATACCAGCCTGGGCCAACAGACCCAGGGCAATATCAGCTGTATACCAGCCTGGGCCAACAGACCCAGGGCAATATCAGCTGTATACCAGCCTGGGCCAACGGACCCAGGGCAATATCAGCTGTCTACCAGCCTGGGCCAACAGTCCCAGGACAATAACAGCTGTATGCCTGCGTGGGAACAACAGACCCAGGGCAATATCAGCTATAGACCTGCCTGGGCCAACAGACCCAGGACAATATCAGCTGTCTACCAGCCTGGGCCAATAGACCCAGGGCTATGTGAGCTGTCTACCAGCCTGGGCCAACAGACCCAGGGCAATATCAGCTGTCTACGAGCCTGGGCCAACAGTCCCAGGACAATATCAGCTGCATACCAGCCTGGGTCATCAACGGTACGCCTACCAAGGGCCAACAGACCCAGGGCAATATGAGCTGTCTACCAGTCTGGGCCAACAGACCCAGGACAATATCAGCTGGACACAAGCCTGGGCCAACATACCCAGGACAATATCAGCTATAGACCTGCCTGGGCCAACAGACCCATAACAATATCAGCTGCATACCAGCCTGGACCAACAGACCCAGGACAATATTGGCTGTATACCAGCCTGGACCAACAGACCCAGGACAATATCAGCTGTATACCACCCTGGACCAACAGACCCAGGACAATATCAGCTGTACAATTGTTTGGGGCCAACACACAGGACAATATCTGACTTATGCCACCTTTTGGCCAATTTCAGCAATTGTTCTCCCCTTACTGTAAAGTAAATAGAGTAGAATTAAGGGTCAGCCAGCACACTGACAGCCTAACAAATCAGTTGCGGAAGGAAAAAACCATGACATACCAACACATCATTTGATTCAGACAACTAATGATTTCCTTCACCGAGTACAAATTTGACACTAACACAGTCAGTCAGTGAGTGAGTTGGGTTTGGTTTAACGCTGCTTTTAACATTATTCCAGTTATATCACGGCGTGTCAGCTTAATGTAGGAGGAAAGCCGGAAGTGATGCAGGTCTTAGACGTTTACCACTTCGGTGAAACCCACGAGCACGGGTATGGTGCTGACAAACCTAGAAACATAATCGGGGTGAACCGGGATTTGAACTCTTAGACGACTGGGCCACCTGTGCCCCCGACACTAGCACAGACTCACACACAATACATGATGACTTTTAACACAAAACAAAAAGACCATACCTCCAAATAGTAAGATTTCTAAGAAGCCCCATACCACGACAAGAATGTTGAGAGGAGGGACTTTCGCCATCCAGACTTCGGGTCAGTGTACGTACAAATGTGGTGTCATGTCCGTGTCACTTTTATGATTTAAGTCGAAGTTATCTGAAACAGATGCAAATAGGAAATTTTGTTATTCATGACAAAGAACATAAATCACCTACTGGAAACAGGTATTGTACAATGTTTTTATCAATATGCAACACATGTCCGCCTGATAGGGTAGACAGCATTACTAGCATCATAATCAAGAGCCCTATGTTAGTTTTTGTTAGTTTATTTGTTGTTTAACGCCGAACTCAGCAATATTCCAGCTATATGACGGCGGTCTGTAAAATAATCGACTCTGGACCAGACAATCCAGTGATTGACATCATGAGCATCGATCAACTGTAAAGGAGAGGTTTCGCTATAGATCCTTATACCCTTGTCAAGCAAGCCTGAAAAATATTGCCATTGGCCCTTAGGAGTGTATTGAGGGAGGTGGAGTTGGTGAAGTGGGTGTCAGTATTGGCTTGCTGTTTGAGGAGGTGGCTGATGATGTAGAAGGCTTTTCCTATGAATGGGAGGGCGATGCGAAAGGGCGCTGATTCGGGTTTTGGGGTCGCAGATCTGTGTGTGGGATGGAGTACAGAGGAGATGACTTTGTCGACGAGATTTGGTGGATAATTGTTGATGTGGGTGAAGACTTGCTTGACAACGGTATAAGGATCTAGACCGAAACGTCACCTTTACAGTATTAAGGAAGTTATTTTCCATAAATTGTGTCTACTTTGTCAATGTAGGTATAATCATTGCAATAGCATTGTCATGGTTATTAACATGTTTGTAATACTGTTGCAATTTAGGTATAAATCATCACAATAAGCATTGTGACAATTATTTACATGTTTGTAATATTGTTGCAATAAAGGAATAAATCATCACAATAGTATTAAGATAGTTATTTACATGTTTGTAATATTGTTGCAATAAAGGAATAAATCATCACAATAGTATTAAGATAGTTATTTACATGTTTGTAATATTGTTGCAATAAAGGAATAAATCATCACAATAGTATTAAGATAGTTATTTACATGTTTGTAATACTGTTGCAATATAGTCATAAATAATCACAATAGTACTGTGACAGTTATTTACATGTTTGTAATATTGTTGCAATAAAGGAATAAATCATCACAATGGTATTAAGATAGTTATTTACATGTGTGTAATATTGTTGCAATATAGGTATAAATCATCACAATAGCATTGTGACAGTTATTTACATGTTTATAATATTGTTGCAATAAAGGCATAAATCATCACAATAGCATTGTGACAGTTATTTACATGTTTGTAATATTGTTGCAATATAGGCATAAATCATCACAATAGCACTGTGACAGTTATTTACATGTTTGTAATATTGTTGCAATATAGGCATAAATCATCACAATAGCACTGTGATAGTTATTTACATGTTTGTAATATTGTTGCAATATAGGCATAAATCATCACAATAGCACGGTGAGTTATTTACATGTTTGTAATATTGTTGCAATATAGGCATAAATCATCACAATAGCACTGTGATAGTTATTTACATGTTTGTAATATTGTTGCAATATAGGCATAAATCATCACAATAGCATTGTGACAGTTATTTACATGTTTGTAATATTGTTGCAATATAGGCATAAATCAACCTCTCACCTCACTCAAGAAACTGACTCAGTAGTCAAACTGCCAAACATGTTCACCCGGGACCAACGTTTCTCAACTTGCTGTGTGCCCTGTGTGTTGTACACAGGTCCATATGCCACACATGGGTGACCTCATTGATCTGTGGTACCTAATCTTATCACAGGGTGCCACAAAACTTTCCAGATGCAGTTAAGGCTATTGCTAGCCACTCACAATAATTTCATGGAGCACAATTTTCCAGATTCACAGTATTCATAGATGCATGAATTGCGAATAATGAAATGATTTGGTCTTACTTTCATGTGAACCGCAGTCTCCCACATCAGCATGCCAGCCTTTTTAGATTTGTAGAACTGGTACAAGGGATTGAGAAGTCAGAAGGAGCTTGAAGCTGAGCCAGATAGAGTTTGGTGCTGCTCTCCCTGTGACCCAGGAGGAAGGTGTACAGAGAGTCTCAGGGAGACTGCTGTGTCTGAAGGACAAGTTGTGCACTGGGCAGACTCCTGAAACTTTTGGATGAGGATGGGCATGTAGCTGAAGCTGGGTTGGGCAATAATAGTTTGGTCCTCTGTCATTTATGTAGGGCTGTTCCACTCAGGTAAACAGGTAACAATTACCAGAACATTCAGCCTCACCTAAATCCTGGCACAAGACTTTGGGAGGTTACTGTGTCAAGTGTGGGTGGGTTGGGTGAGTTGGGTTTAACGCCGCTTTTAACATTATTCCAGTTATATCGCGGCGTGTGTCAAGTGTGGTATGTGTTTATTTACATACGTTCATCAAACAATTATTAAATCTGCCAAACCTGTTTGGCAGTGTCTTTGTTGTTGGTTACCTTGTGAAACAATCAAAACACTGCCGACTCATGACGAGAAAATGTTCAGGATAGTAACAGCTGACATGGTGATTACACAACACTGCTCATTTACAAAAGCAAAGAAGAAATCAAAGGATATTATTCTCTCAACTACTATCATCATAGAATTTGAAGTCGAAGGTCTGCTAGTTTTCGTTTGCTGTTTTATTTGTTTGTTTGTTTGTTTGTTTGTTGTTTAACGCCGAACTCAGCAATATTCCAGCTATATGATGGCGGTCTGTAAATAATCAAGTCTGGACCAAACAATAGTGATTGACATCATGAGCATCGATCGATGCAATTGGGATATGATGACATGCATCAACCAAGTCAGCAAGATCGACCACCCGATCCCATTAGTCGCCTCTTATGACAAGCATAGTCGCCTTTTACAGCAAGCATGGGTTGCTAAAGACCTATTCTTCCCCGGATCTTCAAGGGTCCTTAATTTTGAGAGAATTGAGGAGCATTACAGTACATTTTGAGCAAAAAAGGCCGGGCAGTGGCAAAAAAAGGTGTTTCAATACGGTTGCCATATTAAAAAACAGATTCAAAACTCTTGAACTAATTAAGATTTTGTGAATACACCAAGCTTTTTAGAAAGTGGTCAAATGTAACAAATGTTATATTTGGGATTACACTTTCTTAGTAAAATACAAATTCCAGTACTTTTTGGGTTGAATCCCGTCCGAGGATTCAAACCCACACTGCCAGAGTGAGGCACCTGATCGCCAGCACACAAAGTCAGCGATCTAACCAACTCAGCCACCGAGGCTTCCACAAAAATGGAAGTCCGAAAACTGGTAGTCAAGATCACGTACTTTGTGTACCCCTCTGATAAGTGTAAACTGCCAAAATAACAAGAGGTCATCACTGGTGAGAACAAGCATGTGAACTTTCAGTTTTATTGGCTCCTTCAGATCAGGTGAGCAGAACAATGACACTGTTATTTTAGTATGCCACACTAAGCTCAACCATGTGTTGCGAATAAATCATATGCCTATTATTTGATCCAAAAATTCATTTCACGGTTATATGAACATGCACTGCTCATAATAGATGTGCAACATGTTCATGAAGAATTCAATGCTTCTGATGGATTTTCAGTCCCGGTCAAAAAATGATTGTTCTCAATCAATATTTTTCAGTACTATGCCTCAGGCCTTTGTGTACAAACATTAAGGTACAAGCAGGATTACAGTTAACATATTTTTTTCCTTTTGTGCAAAGTACAAATATTTTTTTTATAAATTAGTAATACCGTATTCGACGAAATAAGCGCCCCGCTCTAATAAGCGCCCACGGCGATATTTGCTATTATATTGGCAAGTGAACAATCCCAATTAGCATCCTTTCCGATTGATCAATGTACACAAGACTTATTTATTCGTGTATAATACGCATTCGTGTGTTATATGCACCCTTAATTATGGGCAATTAAATTCTGGAAAAATATATCTGTCGTATATAAACAGTTCAGACCTTCAGCATAAACCACGAAATTTATATTTTCAACTGTTTTTCCCCACCAAAATAATATTCTAATAAAAGCCCCCTATTTTGAGAGCGCCCTGGGCGCTTATTACGTCGAATACAGTAATGTATGTTCTCAATGTGCCTACAATCTAATCAAACCAATTTACGGTTCGGTGGTTGTATATAAATTATTCATGTACCAGAACTGGCAAGTAATCAGTTATCGCCGCCTCCCTGTTATAGTGAGTGAGTTGGGTTTAAGGTTGCTTTTAACAGTATTCCAGTTATATCGCGGCGTGTCAGCTTAATGTGGAAGGAAAGCCGGAAGTGATGCAGGTCTCAAACGTTTACCACTTCGGTGAAACCCACGAGCATGGGTATGGTGCTGACAAACCTAGAAACATAATTGGGGCGAACCGGGATTCGAACCCACAATCATAGGTTTCTGGCGTGCCCAAGGGAACTCCCTGTTATAGCGTACACATGATTGCATCTCGTTTTACTTTTACTCAGTTTCATTAGAAGACAGAAATATTTATCCAAAAATGATGAACAAAACTGACTCTTGTGAGGAAATTAAAAAACAAACCATATAATCACCATGCTCAAATACAACTTTTGAAGAGACACGCGGGCGGTCTCACGTGACTAATTCATGCGAAAATATAAATTAAACAACACGATGATGCACTTTCAGATCTGTCATTGCTTGCTATCTGTGCAATAAACCAGAAGTTGTCATCCATAAAGTTTTTCTTACTTATTTGCCAACTTCCAGAATGCAAATCAAACAGTTAGTACCAAACAGAGTAGTGAGTGAGTGAGTTGGGTTTGACGCCGCTTTTAACAGTATTCCAGTTATATCGCGGCGTGTCAGCTTAATGTGGGAGGAATGCCCGAAGTGATGCAGGTCTCAGACGTTTACCACTTCAGTGAAACCCACGAGCACGGGTATGTCGCTCACAAACCTAGAAACATAATCAGGGCAAACCGGGATTCGAACCCACAATCATAGGTTTCCGGCGTGCCCAAGGGAAGCAACTCTGCACAGCAAATCACAGCGCCTCAGACAACTGGGCCACCCGTGCCCCCTCATACAGAGTAAATCAGGCAGACTGCAACAAATGGTTACATCTGTATGATGTACTGTGTTTTGTTCTTACCTGGGATCTGCACATGTTCTCGAGAAATGCACTCTAATACCTGTGTATCATGACCCGACTCTCTACTCAATATTATATAATCTGAAGGGACTAGGACTGGGATGGGTAACTTGGGTCGGGTGGGTGCTGAGAAGGACCCAGGAACCTACAGGACTACCCGGACCCATGGTTTGTCACCTGATATATTTTGTTATGACAAAAATTATTTAGAACTCTATGGTTACACTACAAGTCACTAAAGTTCACATTTCTTTCTGACTATGCACCCATTCCTTCTGACCTTTATAGGTTTGAATAAAGACAAAACTTCAGTCAACTTCAGTGTATGCATGACCAGATCGTTTTAAAAGTATATCTAAATATATTTTGCAAGGGCTACCGTCAAACTTTTCCCAATCGGACAATGTTTGTTGTCTAACACCGCACTCAGCAATATTCCAGCTATATGACTGTGGTCTGTAAGTAATCAAGTCTGGACCAGACAATCCAGTGATTTACAACATGAGCATCGATCCACGTAACTGGGATCAGCCAAGTCAGTGAGCCTGACCACCCGATCTCATTAGTCGCCCCTTACGACAAGCATAGTCACCTTTTACAGCAAGCATGGGTTGCTGAAGACCTATTCTACCCCGGATCCTACAGCAGGTATCCAGGTTGGGTCTGGTAATAGAGGGTCAAGTACCCGGGTAGTAAATTTGAACTTGTTTCCCCCCCCCCCCCCCCCCCCCGAGAAGGGACTGTCAATTTACTGGAGCCTCCAAATATTATGGCAGTGCAGGCCATGGTTAAATATTTTCCAGTTTACCACAACACATGTGTATCCTGCATGCATAAATGAACAAACAGTTTGAATTCACAAACTAAACTGGAACATGCACACACAAAAAAACATTAATCAGAAAAGTTCATCGTTTGAAAAGTCTCTGAGAAAACACTAAGCCTTTTTATAATGATCAAGAAATTATATAGTTTGCATATAGTTTCACAAAAATAAAGCTATTGGTACAATTTTGTACCCATCTCTTGAGACCTTCAGCGGGTACCTGGGTAGGGTAAGGGGGTGGATACACGGGTATAAATTTGGACTCATCCCAGCCCAAAAACTCACACACTTTTGAATGTTTACAAATACTTATATTTCCACAACCCACATATAGCCATTTACCTGTACATTGATGTCTAAATGCAGTCTATCTCAATATGTAGCAGCCGACTGCAGGAGGCAGGCACGTCAGTAACTTTCTTCATCAGCTGATGAGAGTTATCCGCTGCTAAGTGAGTAAACGTCCGGATAAGAGAGAGTCCTGCCGGATAATCTTTTACTTTTGAAAACGACACTTCCGCACAGCATATACATACCAATCCTCTGTAGACTCGGCTAAGTTCAATAAATCATTTTCTATCTTGAGCTAGTATTATTTGTAGTATTGTCTAAACGACTAACAAGTATCCATCTCCAGCAGTATCAACGTGTGGTGATACGAGTTATTTGCTGTTAAGTGGATATATGTCCGGATGAGAGTGGGTCCTGGGAATAATAAATCACTTTGGAAACATGACGCGACATGGACGGACTTTCATCCTCTTTTCTTTTAGGGGCGGTGGGGGTAGCCTTGTGATCAAAGTGTTCGCTCGTCACGCCGAAGACCCGGGTTCAATTCCCAGCATGGGTACACTGTGTGAAGCCCATTTATGGTGTCCCCCGGCGTGATATTGCTGGAATATTGCTAAAAGCGGTGAAAAAAACATACTCACTCACTCCTTTCTTTTCGACTTGATGATTGTAGTGCTCACTGCTTAGCCAGTCGTATAGCTTCTGTTGTGAACAGCATCTTCGTTGAGACTCTTGAGAAATTGGCTCATTTGCCCATGGTTGTTTACAAACATTTGTCCTAGATTCCTATATTACGTGTGCTAAACGTGCTAACAGTATCCTACAAAACACAGCAACGAACCTTAACGAAACGCACGTGCAGCACACAATCGTATGAAGTGCACCACTCGCTGACCAGCTATCAGGTCATAACTGTACTCTGAACACGAAAGGGGCGAGGTTGGCCGAAAGGTCAAAACTGTCGCGTTGAAGATCAAATGCGAGCTCTCTTCAGACGTGTCTCTAATTGTTATTGTTTATTCGGCAAGACTAGTAATTCTTGTATGGTTAAGTAAACCGTGGTTAACTATCGCGAGAATTAAACAAAATGAAAATAAAAATACACAAATGTTTTGACAGATATTTGTTTTTAATTAATAAGTAGTATCGGTGTAAATGCATTTATTCTGGAAAGGAAGCTTTTTTAGTTGTAATCTGTCTGATAGTATGCTTTGTTCGCTTGTTTACTAACGCCGCACTCCGCAATATTCCAGCTATATGACGGCTATATGACAGCTATATCCAGTCTGGACCAGACAATCCAGTGAATCCCATCATGAGCATCGATCCACGCAATTGAGATGCGATGACATTCATCAACCAAGTCAGCGAGCTTGACCTGATCCCGTTAGTCGCCTCTAATGAAAAAGCATGGGTGGCTGAAGACCTATTCTAACCC